ACATATACAGGCACCCAGTGAAGGGGGCAGGAGTTCTGCCCCACCCCCAGTCTCTCAGGGCCTCTGGGCAGCGTGGGAAGGCGTGGCCAGAGTGGAAAGAGGTGGCTTTGGAGCTTGAATGGAAAGGGGCTGGGCAGGAGTGGAAAGGAAATTCCAGCAGTCAGGAAAAGGAAAGCCCATTCTAGCACAAATCTTTGTGCATCGGGCTTCTAGTGTTATTATTTTTATTATATAAATATATTGCATCATAGTTCTTATAAATTACATGAATATGTTTATTATATATTATATTGTATAAATATAGGGTGTCCCAAAAAGGTACATACCCATTTTGGGTTATTATAAAGGCAGTGTTTATTAAAATACATTTCATTTTCAAAATTGAGTTATCAGCTATTACAGTGTGTATACATTTTTTGGGAGACACCTGTATATTAACAGTATTCAGTTAGCTGAAACCAGTTTGGCTCAGTGGATAGAATGTCAGCCTGTGGATTGTAAGGTCCCAGGTTCGGTTCTGGTCAAGGGCATGTACCTTGGTTGCGGGCACATCCTCAGTAGGGGGTGTGCAAGAGGCAGCTGATCAATGATTCTCTCTCATTGATGTTTCTAACTCTCTATCCCTCTCTCTTCTTCTCTGTAAAAAAACAATAAAAAATATTTTAAAAAAAAATAGTGTTCAGTTAGTTACTAGTTTGTTTATTATCTTCCCACTCCAATTCCATAATAGTATTAGATAGGATTTGGGAATCTGGTTCCATTATACCCCCAGTGCTTAGAAAGGTACCTAGCATATGGTAGACAGTGAATAAATATCTGTTGAATAACTCCCTGAGTAAGTGATGCTTCTGGAAGTATCTGGAGGTTTCTAAGCATCTGACAGGGTCACAGAAAAGCTGTAGGCATAAGCTCAGTCATACGACGAAAAGACTGTTAAGGTTCCTTCTTGCACTATCAACCCATGATTTTTATGGCCACCACCCCTTTCTGCTATGCACTGGGAAACACAAAGGAGCGTTCCTCAGTCTTTTCCACCAAATGACAGTGTGTGCACCCCTGTTCCCGCTGCAGTATCATCTCAGCATCAAAATGTTGAAGCTAATCAGACATTTAATTTCAAAGTGGAAGGTCATTATCTTGTCACAAAATTTTATTCCAATTACTTTTTCCCTTATTTTATGAAATGAATTAAAAGTAGCACAAAACATTGAAAGATCAAACAGTCAATCAGGAGCTCATTAAGTATCATTGAAATTGGTGCAATAAAAAGCATTTCCCATGGCTGACATGATTTAAAAGCCATATTCTGGATGGCTCAAGACACTGACATGCTGCCAGTCAAAAAAAAATCACCCTGTCCGTAAATAGCCACTTCCCTTTTAAAAAGTTTACTATCTATTTTTTCTGAAATACAGAGTAAATATCTACAAGGATATAAAGCATGAGTGCAATTGCTATCCTACCAGCCCGTTGAGTCCCTAAAGAGAAGCTTATCAGTAAAGTCACCATCTGATCATGTGGCCCAGTATAATTTTCAACCAGTCTTTTTTAAATATGCAATACCTGACTGTGTAGTCAGGGGCACTGACTTCTTTTCCCTTAGACTGTCCAATTTAAAAAATGACAACAGTTGCCGAAACTGGTTTGGCTCAGTGGATAGAGCGTCAGCCTTTGGACTGAAGGGTCCCAAGTTCAATTCCGGTCAAGGGCATGCACAGTGGTTGCCGGGATGTCTCCGGTGGGGGTTGTGCAGGAGGCAGCTGTGGGTGTTTCTCTCTCATCAATGTTTCTGGCTCTTTGTCCCTCTCCCTTTCTCTCTGTAAAAAATCAATGAAATATATATTTTTTAAAAATTTTAAATGACAACAGACAACACAAGAGCTGTCTGGTATGAATGAATAAAAATTATGCCTTTTTTTTTTTTTAGATTGGCAAAAAGTATACTTTTTTGGTGTGCTGCAGAATTTTGGTAGTTTATGTATGCCATGAAGAAAGGTTGAAAATCAGTGATGTAGACTTTAAGCTTACAAAGTGCTACCAGTGATTTTATAAACATTTCACTACATAGCATTTACGTACACTACTCAACTAAGTACAATCCCAGGCAGCAATTAGTTACATTTTTTTAATTGAGTTCATCTCCACACTTGGAAATAAATACCCATTTTCTTTTCTGAAGAGTGATTATTAAGCACTTCATTTTTCTATGGGCCAAGACATAGGTGACTGCTAGCATGAGGATCTGAAAGCTGATCATTTTTAAATTTATTATATATTTTTCTTCCTCTAGGAGCCCTCCACACATTCTCCCACCCCCACATTTTTTTTTTAAGCGAAATCACTAATTTCAGCATTTAGTTTTATAGAAACAACCACTTTCTGATATACAGGATGGCAGGTCCTTTCAGGTGGAAAAATATAACAGACATTATTCTTCCCAGTCTCTTACGGTGATTTAAGTGATGGAGATCATACAAATTAAAAATGCATAAGCAAAAGAGGAAGCTCTGGGGATCGGAAATTACTTCTTCAGTAAAAATTCTAACAACCCCTCCCATATACACACACACTCACACTCACACACACACACACACACATTGCCATTACCCCAATTTCTTTTCAAAAGCCTGGACTTACTGGCAAATTATCTGGGAGTAAAGTGGGAGGGAAACATTTCAATGCAAAATTCAGAAAAGTGTGGGGAGGTTTGTTATCATTTATTTCCTCCGGTAGATCATTCAATTTCAGCTGTCTCACGTCTCAGAAGCAGCTCCCCCATTTCTCACTTATGCGTCTCAGAAACATCCTCCTGGCATCTCATTCTCTCTCCCTGTCTTTCACCAGCATTTCATTATTTTTTAACTGTCCCTCTCATGCTTGTCTCCCCTTTTCCCAGTGATCCACGTGTCCTCATTTAGCAGATTTCAGAAGCCGGGGAGAAACACTGCAAATAATGTTAAATATGATTAATATCTTGAATTCCTTGAAATATGACATGCATGAGTTACAATGAAACCTCTTTTATTTCCCCATGAAATGCTTTTGCATAATGAGAAAGAAAATGTCCTCTATGCCCTAATCAGCCTTGACAGTTCCTGGACTTCCAAATACTTTTATTTATGGCATTATTTATTTCATCTCTAATACATGGAGGTTGGGTAGGAACCACAGCACGATCTGAGGCTGCAGGAGACAGGGAGGGGGAACGCAGAAGCTGAAGCAGGAAAGAGAAAGAAGGCTCTGAAACAAGGCAGGAGCTGTGGGAAATGAGAAGCCAAAAGACCTGAACCCCCAGAAAGAGAAAAATGGGTCATTCCCCAAGACTGAAAGGAGAGCTATGAAATCCAGCATAACTTCCCAGTGGAAAGATGAGGGTCGTTCATCAAGGAGATGTGCCCCAAATTCCAACCTGGAGCAAGAAGATTGAAGGCCGGGAAAACAAACCTAGAAGAGGGTATGCTGGTATTGGAGTTGGCCTAGGGCCCTGGCTGGCAAACCGCGGCTCGAGAGCCACATGCGGCTCTTTGGCCCCTTGAGTGTGGCTCTTCCACAAAATACCACGGCCTGGGCGAGTCCATTTTGAAGAAGTGGCGTTAGAAGAAGTTTAAGTTTAAAAAATGTGGCTCTCAAAAGAAATGTCAATCGTTGTCCTGTTGATGTTTGGCTCTGTTGACTAATGAGTTTGCAGACCACTGGCCTGCGGGGAGGGGGATTTGCTCCAAAAAGTGGCTGGGAGACATCTCTAGCGCCATGGGATACCCCTCCAAACTCAGAGGAGGCTCTTTTCTCATTGGCGTTCTCCAGACACCGTGGCCTGGTGGCCCCAGATGCAGACAGGAACTGCCTGCTCCAAGCTCTCCTGCCAGCTTGGCCCTACAGGCACATATACATATATAAAGTGTATGCACACACTTTGGGAATAATTATAAAGGTAGTGTTGTATTAAAATGCAATTCATTTTCAAAATGGAGAGCTATCAGTTGTTCAACTGTGCATGCATTTTTTTTGGGGGGGTGGGAGAGACACACCCCATATATCAAATAACATTTGAAAGTATCTAATCACCATCCCAAAGGGAAGTGTCAGGTCATTTTTTTTTTCTTTTTAAATTTCTTTATTGATTAAGGTATCACATATTTGTCCTCAACCCCCCATTCCAATCCCTCACCCTCCACCTCACTCATGCCCCCTCCTCCCCTATTGTCCTCGACCACTGGTTAGGCTCACATGTATGCACATAAGTCCTTTGGTTGATCTCTCCCTTTTGTCCCCACCCTCCCTTTGAGGTCATATTTTACCCTCAATTGCACAGAGAGTCTGTCTGCTAGGACAGAAGTGAGGATTGGAATCCAAACGATCTAGATGCACTTGTGTGGCTTTGCGCTTTTTCCTTGAGGAGCCTCGGTGTTCCCATCTGTAGAATGGGGGGCGGGGGTAACGGTTCTGCTATGCACTCTCATGGCCCCTGACAGAGAACTAACGAAATCCTGTGAAAATGCAACGCCCTGTGCGCGCTGATGACCAGCCTGCACTCCAAGGCCCCTTGCTGGGTGTGGGCGGAACCCGGGGCGTGCAAACCAGGCGCAGCAAGCAAGCAGCCTGGGTCAAGATCTTCCCAATGCGGGATGCTGGGGGAGGGGGCTCACTCCCGAACTGGGGAGCTACCTCTCCAAGGCACGCACGCACACCCTCCAGCCACCCCGCCCGGTCTGTCCCGTTACCCCCAGCCTCGCCCTGCATCGCCTGGAGTTTAGGGTAACATGGGGGCGTGCCAGGAGCTACTTTCCCGAACTGGACGCCGCTAGCAGCCCAAGCCACGACTCCACATCTGGGACTCGGACGTCTCACCTAGGCTGATACCTCCAAGCCAACAGATCGCCCTTTTGGGGGGGGGGTCCCCACTGCCCCCACCCCGTCGAAGGGGCCCCCCGCGGGCGGCGGCGGCGGCGGCGGCAGGCCCCGCCCCTCCCCCGTGATCATTAGCAGCTATTACCCTAAACACTCGCTCCTGACTTGCTCTCTCCCTCCAGGCATTGGCGCGGCGGCCTGTCAATCAGCTCTGGGCGGCAGCCCCCCGCGCGGGGGCCCGCGATGCCCGGCTTGGCGACAGGCGGCGGGGACGGCGGCCGCGGCGCAGACACTCTCCCTCCCGCCCGCGCGCGCCCGGGCAGCGCCGGCGGCGGACGGGCGGCGGCGGGGGCGCCCTCGGAGCCCCGCGGAGGGGGCGTGCGGCCGGGGAGCGGTCCCGGGGCGCGGCATGGAGGAGGCGGCCATGCAGCCGGCGGCGGAGGAGGGGCCCAGCGCCCCCAAGATCTACAAGCAGCGCGGCCCCTACAGCGTCCTCAAGACGTTCCCGGGCAAGAGGCCGGCGCTGGCCCGGCGCTACGAGCGCCCCACCCTGGTGGAGCTGCCGCCGCCCGGCCGGCCGCCCCCGCCGCCCTTCGCGCCGCGCGCCGCCGGCTCCAGCGGCTGCAGCGAGCCGCCGCCGCCGCCGTTCCCCGCGCCGAGCGCCTACCCGCCGGCGCCCGGCCGCGCGGTCACCGCCGCCGCCGCCCCCTCGTCGTCCTCGCCCTCCGCCGCCCCGCAGGGCCCCCCGAGGACGCCCGCCGCCGCCGCCGCCGCCTCGTCCTCGTCCTTCGCCGCCGTCGTCCGGTTCGGCGCGGGGCCGGCGGCCGGCGCGGGCAGCAGCGGAGCCGGCGCTGACGGGGCGAGCCTGGAGCTCAGCGCAGGTACGACTCCCGGGCGCAACTTTCCCGCCGGCGGAGGGGGGGGGTCCGGGGAGGGGGCGCTGGGACGGCGGGCACCCTCCTCCCGCGCCCCGCGCCCCGGGCCCCGCGCCCCGGCGAGGAAGGCGGGAGGGATGGGGGCGAACACCCAGCGCAGAGGCGCGGCGTCCGAGCGCACCCCGGAGGCCTCCCCGCGCGGGCAGCAAGCTCTGGGGGGAGGGGGGGAGCTCCCCACGCTGACACAAAGTTCTGGGGGGGCCCCCACGCGGGCAGCAAGCTCTGGGGGGCTCCCCACGCGGACGCCAAGTTCTCGGGGGCCCCCGCGCGGGCAGCAAGTCCTGGGGGGCTCCCCGTGCGGACGCCAAGTTCTGGGGGACCCCCACGCGGGCACCAAGTTCTGGGGGGCTCCGCAGCGCTGCTGCCGCCGCCGAATCCCGGGGCTTCGGACGGCGCGCGCCTCCTAACAGGTGGCTCCGCCGCTCGGTCCGGCGCGGCGCCCGGGAGGTGCGGGGGGATGGGGGGCCGGCGGCGGCGGGGACGGGGCGGGGACCGGGAGGCAGCCGCGGCCGCTCCCGGAGAACCTTGGGCCGCTCCGGCGACCTGGGTGGGGACGCCCTCCCTTCCGAGCCGCCGCCGCCGCGATGTTTTTCCTTCCACTTCTTCGCTCTCTCCGTTTGTTTCCCCGTCTCTCTTTCTCCCTCTCTCTCCTCCTCCTCCGCCGCCTTCTGGTCCTGTTTTGCTCCCCTTGGATGCACTCCGCGCCGCGGTCGGCTCGGCTGGCTCCGGTGAGCGCGTCGCCTCTGCTTCGGTGTCTTTGCTCACCTATCCACCCCACCACCACCACCACCACCCACCCCGAAGTCTCAGCCCGGCCCGGGGCTCCTCTGCCCCCGCCGCCTGGTGGACCCGGGGCTCGAACCCGCGGCCCTGCGCCCGGAAGGAGGTTTCCTGCCCGCCGCCCCAGCCCCGAGGGCCCGGGCGCCCCCGGTTGGCACGCAGACCCCCGCCCCGCGCGCCTCCCCGCCTGGGACACTGCGCGCCGTGGGGTCTCCCGCCCCGGAGCATGGGGCAGGGCCTGCAGAAATGCCTGGTGCAGCGGGTCCACCCCAGGGTGCCAGGTTTCCCTCCTTCCCCTGGAGCCTGCGGAGAAGGGGGGAGGGAGCCCTGGGAGAAGGCCAGCCCGCCTGCCTGGCAGCTGTAGGAAAGGTGGGTCTGCATAGAGCATAGCCTGGGGCCTGGGAACCTGGGCCCTCTCTGCTCCCTGGGGACATGCAAACACGTTTTTCTGGCTCATCAGAACCAAAAGTTCCTGCTCAGGCCTTGGAGGACACTTTAGAGGCCGCTTTGCCCCCCGAATGCTGCCTAGCAATGAATCCAGGGCTTTATTTCTAATGAAAATGCGAGCATTGTCTCTCAATGAGTTCTAGGTGCCCCATTTGGACACTTGAAGAATTGGTTTTGAAGAAAGAAAATCTAATTGCAGGCTTGTTTTGTTACATACCTCACTGCTTTGGAGCCCTTTGACTGCGTTGCAGGAGGCTCTTAGGTGGATGTTCACGGTGGTGTTTTGTTTGTTTCCGTTGCTCTTGGCCCCAGGATTCTGTTTTGTTTTTATATTCATTCTCAGGATACTTGCCCACTTTTATTTTCATCCCCCTTCTTCTGTTTTACCCCCGTAAGAGGTTTGTTTTCCTTCTCCCAGGATTTGATTTGTTCATGCCCATTTTTATTCCCCAGCGCTGCTTTATCTTCCTATATTTTTATTTTGTTTTTCATAAGTTTGAGTCTTTTTTCCTGTTTTCTCTATTCTGCTTCACTCCTTTGCATAACCTCAGTTCCACCGTGTTTGTTCTGGTTTTTCCCTCTCCTTTTTCGGTCCTGGTTAGCCTGCTCTCACCTTGCTTTCTCTTGTCAGGCATCGCCGACTTTTAGTCTTTTACTTCCTTTTAGACATAATAAATGCCTTTCTCATTTCCACTTTATTTAGTTTTATTTTAACCTTTTTCCTTTCCCCTGCACAAGTCAGTTGCTATCCTGTCCATAGTCTTTCCTACTCTGGCACTTTCCCTGCTGCTTATACTCACTGTGCTCTCTTTTCCTGTTTCTACTTTGTCTCCGTCCCCAGGTGGAAATCACATCACTCAGTCTAAAGAAGTGAAAAGGGGCTATTGATAGCCCCTTACTTTTATATTCATTATATTTTTCTTTTTCTTTTTTCTTTTTTTTAAGAGGTCATAGAGTGGCACCTTTGATAACACCAAAGGTCAGATATCACGTGCTTGGTCTGGAGGGAAAATACAGCCCATGGTCCTAGACCTCATGAATTGTGTTCCTATCAATCACTGATGGACAAGGCAATCTCTTCACAGACACAGTGATGTGAGTAACCATCAGAGGGACAGTTGCCTGAGGTGCTGATTGGCTTGTTGATGAACTAGTGGTTCCGCTTTGAACCAATGAGCATGTGTGCTCAAAGGGGTGACCACTTAAGCATCCTGGGTGGGGGCGGGGTGATCATTTATTTGTTGTCCCCTAACAACAGTGTTATTGCCATTTTCTCAAACCACCTGGTAAAGAAAACTGAAAATAGTCAGAGCATCAGTGGGATTCAGTGAGTCAAGGATAGAAGAGAGAGAAGAGTGTCCAGAATCAATGCAGTGAAAAAAATGAAAGGGTTGAAGTGAATCTTATGTATGGGCCATAAACCACTGAGAGGAGAAATACGTGATTAAAAATAAAATATTTTCAACATTCTTATAAAATATCACGAAGAGTGTAATTTTCCTTAAAAGGGGGATATACCATGGTTTTGAAACCTATTTTTCCTCTGTGGGAGGCTTAGAGTTAAAACCCACGTAGATCTTGATATGCAGCCTAAATTTGGCATCAGGAAATGGGAAATTGCATCTTTAAGCAGAGTACAATCAAAAATGAATTACAATAAATCCTATATAATTGCATAGGTCATTCTCTTTAATGAGATTTTATTAACCTGACTGTCAAGCTTTTGAGTCAGGCAGATATTTTATCTTCTTCAACTGATAAAAGTGTCAGCTATAAACCACCATATAAATATTCATAAATCTACACATCTGTGGGAGCCTATCAGCATCATTCTTTTGGACATTAAAAGCATTCTAATTACTTTCTGTCTAGCAGAGCTGAAATGCTGCCTGTTATAGTATGTGCTTGGCAGGCATGATTGCTTTTGTTTGCCATCACAAATAGCAGCATCCTATTTTATATACGGATGGTCCAGAAAATATTCAGGGATTGACTGAGCAGGATGCGTATTAGGAAGCACCATCTGGTTTTGATAGCACCAAGTATATTAACTCATCTGTTAATTTTTGACACATCATTGATTTATTTATTTAGAAAAATTGCATCCTGTTTTGCTGTGTTGATGTTTGCCATTACGGGGGGGAGGGGTGGGAAGGGGGGAAATAGGATGACTTTTTTTTTTTAAAGACATCGTTCATTGATTTAAGACAAGGCTGATGCTTCCAAAGAGGCTTTCATTTTCTAACTTTCAATGCCATGACGTCCTTTCTTAAAAAGAAGTTACATTAATGTTATAAGGAAATTAATCTATTTTGAACTAGCTGGAATTCCTTTGGGTAGGAATACTGTATAAATACATAATAGTAGGTCACACAAAAATGTTTCGGCTTCTGCATTTTTAATATTAATAGATTTCACCCTTGGCTGGGCTAAAATCAAAAGGTTACCACTAATCTCAAGTGCTGTGATCTCCTTCAGAGAAACAGAATACTCTTGGGGGTATACTGTGATGGACAAATTCCACCCAAGGCTTTGCTTACAAAGAAGGACATTAAAATAGGGGCCCTGAGTTTGATTGCTGACTTCCTATCTGTCTTATTCACTTACAGATTTAAGGTGGGATTAAACCACTTAAATTCAGAAAAATTCTAGAAATGAAATTTTTTAATTAAAAAAAATAATCATGGGTTCAGATTCTGTAATCAGATAAGGTACAATTTGCAGCCTGATACCTCCCAACAGACTGCACAATAAAGCAAAATAAGTTAGACAGAAGTGGTCATTTTAGGGTGGTTTGTGCCTGACATTTTATGTCTGTCAGAGAAGTTAGGGGTAAAATAAGTAGTTTTAAAGTCCCTTTGTAAACTGATGACTTTGTACTTCTCGGCCATCATCTGAGTGGAGCATTCTGTAACTAGAAGGGGGGGGAGGGGGAACAGTTTAAAAATTCCAAATACACGTTCACACTTTGCACAATTAAGAATCATGGATCAGTGGCCATTCAAATGTGTGCATATGAAAACAACTTTTCTCCATTTCTTAGCGATAACGGGCATAGCACAACACTTGCATTTCTAATGACATTCTGTCTGGAAGGCTGAAGTATTGCTGGCTGCAATATGTATTAAGTGGAAGATTTACTGTTTTCTACCAAGTGTAATAGTAATATTTTTCATCACACTCTTCAATGTATTGATATTAAAACTATTCAAATATTTTAACAAACTGAAAGAGAAGAAATTCCATTTTAACGCTTATAGTTTTTTTTCTTTCATATGTCAAGTCTGAAAATGAAGCATTTTTAAAAAACTGCAAGCAAAACCTTATTTATGGTTGTAGCTATTCTCTGATATTCTGAGTGCCCTTTAATACATTATCTTCATAATGTAGAGTATTACATAATGATTCCTTTTTCAGCATATTACAAGTTTATCCTTCAATTAAGAAAACAAATCATACTTGTCTCTAAGTCAGATTCTTTTCCCTTAAATCTATACCCTAGTGTGATTTATCATTATGATTAAAACTACTGCGTCTTATTGAGGATAGTGAAAAAATATATTGAGCAATTTTTTTCTAGACAATTCTATTTTAGCCTTCCCTTTCATATTTTGTTCCTTTCATCAAGGTTATGTTAACAGTGTATAGGCTGTAAATCAATTGGGACCATGCTGATTAAAATGCAAACAGTAAATACAACTTCAGGTCTAGAATGGGATTATAGGATTAAAATGAATGAAAACTGCTAGCGTGCTAGAATTGAAAATTCCCAATCAATATCATCCTTTGATTTTACTAATAAAAGAACAAAAACCCGGAAGTAAAGAAATGAGGAGGCAACAGCTTAACCCTCCCCAGTTAAATGGTTCAACTGTTTACTATCTTGTGTTTGGTCATGGTGAAGAAATGATACCCAAATATTTGAGGTCTTTTTCCCTACTAAGTTTTGAATCACCGGCTCAATTCTTCACTCCACCTGCAGGGGGCAGAAGCGTCATCAGTTCCAGTGGTTGGTGTGTAGAGAAACTTGCCATGCCCATGTCCCTTTTTCTCCAGGGCAGGAAACAAGACTACCTTGGTGGCTTCTTTAGCCAAGTTCCCGGCCCATCCATCCATTCTGGCTTGAAACTATGCCTGGCCTCTGGTTCCTTCTTTAGCCCTCAAACTAGTGGTCGGTCTATTATTTGTGGGATTCAGGGCAGGAGTACAAATGCAAGCCCACACATCATATATCTAAATAATTAAAAGACCTACTCAAGCTAACAAACAAAAATATGTTCTCTCTGTCTACCCTGGCAGAGACACCACCATCATAACCACTTTTGACTTTCAGACAGCCCATGGCCTTCCGTTGCCACTCCTGGTGTCATCTTCCTGTAGTAGGGACCTCATATGCATGCATGCACACACACACACACACACACACACACACACACACACACCCTATGGATGCCCCAGTTCAGACTTTCCAAGCTCTGGCACATGGCGTGTCTTTGGGAAGATGGCTCGGGGAAGAGACCAGCCCTTGGAGCAGTTGGACTAGGGAAGTCCGTTCCTCTCTGTGGGGAGAGTGTGGGCCATAGGGGGGTGTTCTAGGCAGGGGCCCTCCCGCCCGTGTCCCGGGCAGTCCTTACTCCTGAGAGTGAGGAAGCACCAGGCCACGAAGAAAGTACTCCTGTGGCCTCCCAGCCCGCTTACAGTGGTCTTGCCGCCCCCACCCGAGTAAATCTGAAACTGCCGTGAACTGAGATCCTCTGTTTGTTTACAGGGGTCCCTCGTGGTTTCAGTAAATAGTAGTTTGTGAGGTCCCATGCCCGCCCTCGGACCCCAGTGCCCTCCATCCCGCTGTGCTCACGGAAGGCAGTCTCTGTTCCTCTCCTGAGCCTGAGAGCACGGGCCTCTGTGTGCGGACTTCTGATTGTGTCACAGGGATCTGGGGACAGGAGCATTGTATGGATTTGGGAGGTATGAGGGGTGCTTCCTGGATGCCAGGAAATCGAAACAGGAGATGTGGACCCCCCTCTAATCCTCCAGTACCTTAATTCAGGAAAGAATAGGAAGGGAAAAGCACGCTAGCCGGTTTTGCTCAGAGGATAGAGCCTGTGGACTAAAGGGTTCCCGGTCCAGTTCTGGCAAGGGCAGGTGCCTGTTTGCAGGTTCGATCCCTGGCCCTGGCCCTGGTCAGGGCGCGAGCTGAGGCAGCCAGTCATCCATTCACTGAGTCTCTCTCACATCTAAGTTTCTCTCTGTGTCTCTTCTCCTCCTTTCCCTCTCTCTAGAGAGAAAAATCAATGGAAAAATATCCCCGGGTGAGGATTAACAAGAAGTAAATAAATAAAATGGAAAGAAAAAAGCAAAGTGGAGCCTGGAGGTTTCTGAAGGGTGGTTTCATTGGTCATCTATCCTGGATTTCCGGAGAAATCAATTTCTAATCACAGCTGTTATGGTTCCTTGTTCCCATAGAAGCCCTGGAGGGTCTCACCATTTCTCATTTTAAAAGTTGTGTGTGTGTGGGGGGGTGTTTATTTGTTTATTTTCAGGGGGGGAAATACAGCTACTCAACATTTTTAGGGACAAGTAGCTGGTTACACTTGTATCATAAACAAGAGTTAATTGACACCAAAAATCTACAATTTTGTTTGTTGCCATTTTTTTTTGGGGGGGGGGGGTGGAGTCTGGGAGGGAGAGGCTTCCTCTTACCATTCCGTAAGCACTATGTGTGTGTGTGTGTGTGTGTGTGTGTGTCTGTCTGTCTGTCTGTCTGTCTCTACTTACAAGTAGCTCATCCATGCTGGGTGGTGGCCAGGAAAGAAGTGAATCTACCTTATGACATTTATATTTAGATGAATTTTCAAGACGTTTAGACTGACAATATTCAATCACATTTCCACAATTTTGGGATGGGTTGTTGTTTCCCCCCCCCCCCCTTGTTTTTTCAGTGAATTGATTGCTTTCTCTTTGCTCTTTGCTTTCGCCGATTAGCAGTTACTATGCTTTAGAATTCGTGTATGTGAACAACTGGCATTCCCAGCACATGCCATTTTAGGAGACGTGACAACCTGACGGAAGAGGCACTCCTGCTTTTCAGATGACGCTGACATAGATCAGCCTCAGCATTGGCCTTGGCGAGAGATCCCAGTTGGCAGATGAATTAAAAGGAGCAGTGGGCACAGATCCTGGGCAGCACGCACAGGGCTGCTCCTGGGCTCCTTGTGGTGTGCCCGATGGGCCCACTCTTGGTTTTATCTCAGGCGTCTGGTGAGCTCTTCAAAAAGACTTATCTCTCTTCTCCATTTGTATCTGGGAGCCACGCACTCTCGGCAGGGATTGTACCGGCTGATTAATAGCAAGGGCGAGAGGGCACTCCAGAAATAGAAGTAATGATTGCTCTAAGCCCTCCCATCAATGAGAAATTGAGTCTGCGGTGGCGGGCTCGATTCATTAGAGGAACCACATTAATGAAGCCATAGGTGTGAGTTCGGACCTGTGCAGGCCAGTGAATGCCATGGGGAGGGAAACCTCTCCACGGGGCCCAAAGGCACACAGTCCAGCCGTTTCCCGGGGGAAGGGGCTGGGGACAACGCATCAGGCACCCTGTGCATCCTGTTAGAAGTGCCTTATCCATGTCACCTCAATCATTGATGGTGGAAATGCATATATATATATTTTTAACACGTTTTCCTGTTAAACTCAAAGTTGGGGCCTTGGCTTGTCTCTTGTCTTTGGTTGCCGGCCTCTAACGTGTCTCTTCCTGTGTTTCAGAGAGCCGCATGATCTTGGATGCCTTTGCCCAGCAGTGCAGTCGGGTTCTTAGTCTCCTTAATTGCGGAGGCAAACTTCTGGACTCCAGCCATTCCCAGTCCATGATTTCCTACGTAAAGCAGGAAGGCTCGTGTTATACCGAGAGACAGGATCCGTGTCACGTGGGGAAAGGGGTCCACAGTCAGACTGCAGACAGCGTAGACCTAGAGATGCAATATATGCAAAGGAAGCAACAGACTTCTGCCTTTCTGAGAGTTTTCACCGACTCCCTGCAAAACTACCTGCTCTCGGGGAGCTTCCCAACCCCAAACGCCTCGTCGGTCAGCGAGTACGGCCACTTGGCCGACGTGGACCCTCTGTCCACCTCTCCCGTGCACACACTGGGAGGCTGGACCTCCCCGGCAACGTCGGAGTCCCACGGTCACCCGTCGTCCTCTACGCTGCCCGAGGAGGAGGAGGAGGAGGAGGAGGAGGAAGGCTACTGCCCCAGGTGCCAAGAGCTGGAGCACGAGGTCATTTCCCTGCAACAAGAAAACGAAGAGCTCCGACGGAAATTAGAGAGCATCCCAGGTACCCTGTCATGTTACTCACATGACAGCTGCAACTTCTTTCTTTCCGTTGTCTCATCTGTGTGTGTGCATGCATGCACGTATGTAGTATGTTGTTTGTTTATTTGTTTTTGGCCAGCGATGTAGAAAAGTTGGAAAGACGGGTATGCACAGGGTACCCTTAACCTGCCTCGTGTCAAGCAGAAATTTCAGGATGAGCCACTAGCCGAGTCCCGTCTGTGTTTAAGCCACTACGTTCTTGGGTATAGGCCTCAAGGCCATAGTCACGTGGAAGGATGTCTCTGTCGGTATAAAAGTGATCCCTAGGTGTGGTACGCCGAGATCGGAATAGGCCGAGTACTGGGTTTCCTTAAAAAAAAAAAAAAAATGACCCTGCTCCTTTAAAATGCCTTTTGTGTTTTTACAGACATTGGTATGTGTGTTTTATTAGTCGGTGATGGAAATTAAAACAAAATGATACCTTCAGAGAGACAGGGCTCAGTAGTGATGAACAAATGAACTCTTCGAGTCCATCCGTTTCTTTCCTTTCTTGTTAAGTTTCAACAGGCAGGGCCTCTTTTCAGCATGCGGACACCTCCGAAAGGTAATAAGCAGCTGTAAACTAAAAGGAAGAGATGGAAGACACACCAGTAATTAGGCTGATCCCAAACTACAATATTTGTGCCCCTGGCAAAATAGGAGGTATTTTCTGCCTCTTAGAGATACCAGATTTGCAGAAAAGTAAAAGTCATCTATATGGCAAGGTACTGATTTTGCTTATGTGTTTGAATACATGCCTGCACGTCTGTGGCTGACAACAGATATTAAGCCCTGGCCAGTGTGGCTCAGTTGCCCTGTGCACCCAGGGTGCCTTCGGTCAGGGTGTATATGGGAGGCAACCAATCGTTTCTCTCTCTTCTCCCTTCTCTCCCCTCCTCCTCCTCTTCCCTAAAAAAAAGAAAAAATGTACACATTTTTTAAAAAGATATTAAGGTCATTAGCTAGAGCAGTATCTTCAAACCTCTTTAATTACACAGCCATTGATAAAAAATTTTGAGCACCAATGTACACATTTATTGGTTAATTACATAGTACATGTTCTACTGTACCAGTGCTCGACAAACTCATTAGTCAACAGAGCCAAATATCAAAAACAGGACAACGATTAAAATTTCATTTGAGAGCCAAATTTTTTAAACTTAAACTTCTTCTAACACCACTTCTTCAAAATAGACTCACCCAGGCCGTGGTATTTTGTGGAAGAACCACACTCAAGGGGCCAAAGAGCTTTATTTTTGAACACTAATACATTGTGTTCAAAATAAAGCATATGTAATAAATTTAAATCTTTTAAAATTCTCACTTGAGGATATGTTTTCATTGATTGTTTTAGAGGGGGCAGGGAGAGAGCAACATTGATGTGAGAGAAAAACATTGATGGTCGATTCCCATATGCACCCACAACCTAGGTAAGGGGTCAGACTTGCAACCTTTTAGAGGTACAGGACAAATGAGCCGCCCAACCAGGGCTGCATTTAAATTTTTGAAAGCTGATACATACATATATATGTGTGTGTGTGTGTGTGTGTGTGTGTGTGTGTACTTTTCCCCTAACTCAGTGTCTTTTGCCACCCAATTAGGCGGCTGCATCTAGAAAGGGCATGTTGAAAAAGTTACCCACTTGTTTATTAGTACACGTAGGAAGCAAAAACAAGTGAAGAATTGCCAAATCAGAAATTTATTTCCTCTTTATTTAAAGGAATTTTTCAGGTAGACCTAAGGTTTGAAACGTTCAGAATATTTTGGAATCAGATTTAGTACAGTAGTTTTATGGGCGAGAAGCAAGAGGTAAAGTAAACCCCTTCTCTGCTTTGTGTTTGAGCCCGGGGGTTAGATACAGAGTCACGGTGTCTTCTGCCAGGTTGCCAGGTATTCCACCGGCTTGGCACTGACCGCAGGAGAGAGACTGGGTAGAACTCCCAAGTCAGAGAGATGTGGGTGCAGCTAACACATTGTGGGGCTTTACAGCTTTCACAGTTCCTTAAATTATTAATTTAAACAGACCTTATCCTATATAATAAAAGCCCAGCAGTCAAAACAGTGGAATGACCAGAATGACCAGAGACCAGGGCAATTAGGCAGGCAGACGAGTGGTTAGGAGTGATCAGGCAGGCAGGCAGGTGGTTAGGGAGGATGAGGCAGGCAGGCAAACAGGGGCAATGAGGCAGGCAGGCAAAGTGGTTTAGGGCAATCAGGAAGGCCGGCGAGTGGTTAACGGTGATCAGGCAGGCAGGCATGCAGTTGGGAGCCAACAATCCTGGATTGCGAGAAGGATATCCGACCGTCGGACATTCCCTGAAAGATCCAGGATTGCGAGAGAGCGCAGACCAGGCTGAGGGACCATCCCTCGTGTAAGAATTTCGTGCACCGGGCCTCTAGTTTAATATGTAGTGTTGACTCATTAACATTGAACTCACAGCCAACGGCACTATAACTGGTGCCTGAATGAAGCTGACCTGACACAGATTTTTCTCCATGAGGCACATCACAGCCTTCTTGCACTTGGCAACACTAGACGGCACTCCGTTGTCCATTTGGAGTACATTTCAAACAGCGAAATCACCAACAGTAAGTGCAAAAATGTGGATCATGTGGCACCGAATCGACCATGAAAAGGGTACTTGTTTGTGCGAGCTGAAACAGACGTAGCATTACCTTGCTCGGCCCCAGCTGGGAATGTGTGCATGGGCTGCTCAAACTTCTCAGTGACCTGCCAGTGACCACACGAGCCCCAGGAGAACTGATTTGACCATTAGAGAGCAGGCAAATTTGCCAAGACAGAAGCCGCAAATAAAGAGGATCATCTGCTACAACCTGGATTGCGCGGTTCTGATCCTGGTAGTCCACAGATGGCATTTTCTAAGTAAGATTTTTAAAAGTAAATCGGTGTCAGCTTGGGGGTAATAGTAATTTTTCCAGAATGAAAAGCCCTTGGAGTAAATGCAGTGTGGATTCGCTAGTACCCTCCCCTGCTCACACCGCCCTCCAAACTCACATGTGCCCAGAAGTGCTTGTGGAAGAATTCCTGGACCTGAGAAACACACTGATCATATTTGTAATGTGTGTGTGTGGGGGACCCATCCGCTTGGGTCCCTCCTCTCGCCCTCCGCTGTCGTGGGGCCTAGCTCACAGCATGGGCTGTTGCAGTAGCCACTCAGCTCCCCTCCCAGACGCCAGGCAGGCTCTCCCCCTGCTGCAAAGCCCCTAATGGCTTCACACAGTCAAGGCCCCCGCCCTCCCTGCGGCACGCGCGGTCCTCTGCTGCTGGGCCGTTCCCTGCCTGTCTCTGTGGACGTGGCTCTCACTTCCCACCGTGCACCACGAGTCCCAGCCCCCCTGGACAGTGTGCCATTCCTGAGGAGCCATGTCCTTTCTGCCTCAGGTCTGCCCTTAGGCCTGCTGTTCCTTCTAAGGACACGTTGTCCTTTTTCTTTTTCTTTTTTTAATATATTTTACTGACTTTTTTTACAGAGAGGAAGGGAGAGGGATAGAGAGTTAAAAACATCAATGAGAGAGAAACATCCATCACTGCCTCCTGCACACCTCCCAGTGGGGATGTGCCTGCAACCAAGGTACGTGCCCTTGACCGGAATCGAACCCGGGACCCTTCAGTCCACAGACCGACTCTCTATCCACTGAGCCAAAACCGATTTCAGCACATTGTTCTGTTTCCCACTTGAGGAACTCCAACTCGCCTTTCAGTGTTCAGTTCAGGTGGCACTCCTCTTTAGCAGACCTCTCCCACGGTTCCCAGGCAAAAGCAGCCACTTCCCATCAGACTGTCTCTGTTAAAGTCGGTATCAGGAGAAGGTTTTGCTTTTTGTGTGTGTCTCTCTCCTGATGGCCTGGAACGGGAGAGGCGGGCCATGTAAGGTCCTTGAGCACAGAGACAAGCCATCTTTGTATTTCTACTTTCTAGTCCAGTGTCGGGCATGCGGTATCCACACGTCAATTAAATTACACAGGACGTTGTCATTATCAAAAGCATAACCGTGCATCTGATGGCTGAGTAACACTTAAAGCTCGTTGTTTATTTCTAGATATTTACAATACAGGAGCTCATATTTTACAGCGACGATGTAAGTAGGACACTCAGAGATGTTACCAGCGCAGATGGCACGGTCGCCGAAGATGGTGAAGAATGTCGGTCTCCCTGTGAAATTGTATGTGGTGTATTTTGAGATGGAGTTTTGAGATTTACAAACAGTTATGTAGCAGGGTGGATTACAGAATGCTTGAGGAATGAGAAGAGGGACTCTGATCGGGATTTTCGTACAATAATCTGCATGAAAATTAGGCCCTTGTAGCCCAAGTGCCCTTAAACAGGCAAAATGAGAATGGCAGCAGCTCCTTGGAAGAGCTGTACTTCACAGCTGTCACTCAGGCTAGACAGCAGCCACGTCAGCAGAGTCAAGTAAGTGGCCTCTCAGGGATTCACCGGGCTCCAATTCATGCAATAACAATAGCTCACGCGAGGCAGAATGTACTGGGTGCTTCTGCTTTACATGCAGTTCCGTTAGTTCATGAATGCAGTAATAGCCCTTTTTTTTTTAATCCTTGATATTTTCCATTGATTTGTTTCTTTAATATGTTTTTATTGATTTTAGAGAGGAAAGGGAGAGAAACATCGATGTAAGAGAGAAACATGTCTCGGTTGCCTGCCTCCAGCACACACCCTGACTGGGGACCACACTCACCACCTGGGCATGTACCCTGACCAGGAATCCAACCAGCAAGCTTAGGTGCATGGGACGGCTCTCAACCAACGAAGCCACGCTGGACAGGGCTCCGTTGATTTTTTTTATATAGAGAGAGATAAAAATAAACATTAATCTGTTGCCTCCCAGTGATCAAACCCCCAACCTAGGTATGTGCCCTGACCGGGAATCAAACCTGCAGTCCTCTTTATGCGTACAGGATGATGCTTAACCAACTGAGCCACCAGGCCCGGCATAATAATATTTTACAGATGAGGTAACCGAGGCTAAGAGACGTTAACCACTTAACTGCCACAATATTTTAAATTTAATTTAAAAAGCTTCACCGCTTGTACCTATGGACGCTTATGGTGTACAAATGGTTAAGGAACTTGCCCAGGATTGCACAGTTCAAAAGTGCCAGAGTCAGTACACAAAGGGAAAAAAATAGTATCCAACAATTACTTTTGGACCAATTCCCCAGCCTTCCTGTCAGGGAACTGTTACATACGTACTAGTATTCACTTAGATTGTCTTCTTTTTAAAAATATATTTTTATTGATTTCAGAGAGGAAGGGAGAGGGAGAAATGGAAACCTCAGTGATGAGAGAGAATCATCTATGGGCTGCCTCCTGCATGCCCACATCCTGGCATGTGCCCTGACTGAGAATCGAACTGTGACCTCCTGGTTCATAGGTTGATGCTCAACCACTGAGCCACATCAGCTGGGTCTCTCAGACTATCTTGAAGACCCTGTCTGTGTGGGTTTGACTATCTTTCCCTGGCCATGATGTAAATAATCCACCCAGGCCAGGGGCATCTTTGTTTTGATGCAGCACATTCGTTTAGGTAGCTCAGGTATTTGCAACCTGATATTGGCAACTGGCTCCTCTCAGTTTGGACTCGATTGGCAGAAAAGATCTTTCTGCTTTGCTTTATCCCTCCCAGGTATTTTATACTTTTCCCAGAATTGTCAAGTGTACATTTTAAAAAGTCACTACGTACAGGAGGGAAAAATGGTAAATGTCAATATAAGGACGAGCAGTAGGGACACAAGGTACCTTCCTAGCATTATTTTCCTTTACTAAGAAGTTGCTACAGTTTTGGTTCCTTGTTGTTGTTTTTTTTTTTTTATTCTTCTAGATCAGTTGTCGGCAAGCCACGGCTCCCAAGCCACATGCGGCTCTTTGGCCCCTTGAGTGTTCTAACTCCCAGGCCAAAAACCGACTTCTGCGCATGGGCCACGAAGTTTCAATCACACTGTATGTGTGTGCCCGCACATGGTATTTTGTGGAAGAGCCACAGTCAAGGGGCCAAAGAGCCGCAAACCACTGTTCTAGATGGACCTGACTCACTCTGCGTGCGGGAGTGAGACCTGCCCGATGGGGCTGAGGGTGGTGGCTTCTCCATCAGCAATAACTCTCTTGAAATTCACCATGTGCACCGGGAGACAAGTAGATGTGAAGGCCTCTGGAGCATCAATCTGCTCCGTGGGAATTCTGTGATCTCTCTGCTGCCGTAAGCCCTAACCATCCCCCCCCCCTCTTGCTCTTTCTTTAGAGGCCAAAGGAACAGTGTTGGGCCTGGACTGCACAAAACCCTTTACTCCCTGTCCGTGAGGGCCCCACGTCCTCACTCACAAACCCGTGTGTCCAGAGGACACGAGGTAACAGAACAGAGGACATGAGGACAGCAGTTTTCCACCGTCCTGCTCAGCGCCCTGTGTGTGCCGGGCAGGCAGCGTGGGCCGCTGTGGGCAGGATGGTTCTGCCCCCTTTCCTCTCTGCTTTAAGAGACAGCTACCTCCACTTTCCAGGCTGACCGGTTTATTTTTTTTCCCCCCATTGAAAACGTTTGATTTTATAGCTTCCCTGTGTAGATCTAGGCAACTTTCCAAAGAGTCCTCATTCAGAAGTGATGTCCCAGATCCGTGACGGTGCGGGCCTTGGGGAGAGGGTCCTGAGGCCTCTGCCTCCCAAGGACCAGGGCTGGGGGTCTGCCATGGGGGGCGGGAGGGCGGGGGCTGCCCGGGGGCCCAGGCAGTGTTATTTCCGTTTTTTTTAGCAGTCGGCTGATTCTGAGCCGTATCTTCCTGGTCTTCAGCCTTGTGCCAGGCACCAGCCGACAGGACCCACTTGCCTAAGTGGAGCCCCTGAAGTGCAACATGTCTGAAGCAACTGACCTAGCTCATAGCTCTTCACACTGCTGCCCAAATACCAGTATTTGGGGTGTAAAGAATGGGAGAGTCCCCGAAATCGGTTTGGCTCAGTGGATAGAGCATCAGCCTGTGGACTGAAAGGTCCCGGGTTCGATTCTGGTCAAGGGCATGTACCTTGGTTGCGGGCACATCCCCAGTAGGGTGTGTGCAGGAGGCAGCTGATCGATGTTTCTCTCTCATTGATGTTTCTGACTCTCTATCCCTCTCTCTTCCTCTCTCTAAAAAATCAATAAAATATACTTTAAAAAAAAGAAAAAAAAAGAATGGGAGAGTCGATCTCCAAGCCCTTCCAGGGCCTGTGATCAGCACTGAGGGTAACAGAGCAAAGGAATGGTCCCTCAGACAACTGTCAGATTCTTATAATACATGCCCACTGTGGAAATTGTTTAAAAGTGGAGTTTGTAAGCGTGGTAAAGGATGAATGTAATAACTACACTAATCCTGCTCCTAAAAATATAATCATGGTTAATTACTAATAACACTTTGGCTTACTTCTTTCCAGTTTCTTTCTCTCGACACGTAATGACTTTTAACAAAGTGGAAGTCATACTGAATATTCAGAATTTATTTTATTTTATTAGATGTATTAGGGCCACATGGATGAGTAAGATTATATGAGCTTTGAGTGTACAGTTCTGTGATACATCATCTGTTTGATGCAGCGTGTGCTCACCACCCAAAGTCTAGTCTCCTTCTATAACCATATATCTGACTCCCTTTCCACCCTCTTCTCCCTCCCCCACCTCCTTTCCCTCTGGGACCGCCACCCTGTTGTCTGTGTTCATGCGTCTGTTGGCTTGTTGCTTTCTGTTTTACATTCCACATGTGAGTGAAATCCCATGGCTCTCGTCCTTTTCTGTCAGGCTTATTTTGCTTAGCATGATACGCACAGGGTCCATCCTGTTGTTCAAGCTGCAGTATTTAATTTCGTTTTGTAAGCGTCCTGTGCTTTGTTTAAACATTTCTTCATAGACATCTTAATGGCTGTAAAATATGGGTAAGGGATCAAAAGAAGTTTTCATTCAAATCCTAATCCATTCACCAGTATTGACATGTTTTACTGAAACTTTCCAACTAAACCCAGAGTAACACCTTGCCGGTGCCACTTGGCAAGGCAGTGACATCTGTCTAGTTGCGTTTGATTCTAACCACAAAGGGTGAGCAGAGTGCTGCTTCCGGGGTCGGCCCGCCCAGTCTGAGCAGAGCAGGCTTCAACACAGTGGGTCACGTGGTCCCAGAGGATCCCAGTCAGTGAAAACCGGGGCCAAACACCAACCTGTGTTCTGCCTCCTTTATTCTCCCTTCTGCTGCTTTTCCTCCCAAAATTAATGCGCATTGCCAGATTGGTTCTCACTCTCCGTGGAATCCGTTCAGTGGATGAGACTTTGCATAGGCAGGTGGCATTGGGGATACTTGACTGGCCTTATTAAACTCTGGTTTAAGGAAAGTCCTACTTCAGACCGATACAGGTATGCCTTCCTTTTGTTGACTTTTGAAGAATATATTTAAACGATGATTCAAGAGTGGCCTGTGGCACAGGTCTGTGAGGCAGCAGCCTATGTATGAAGATGGTTATTGAAGAAAAAAACTTTTCGGCAAGAAGAAACATTTCCTAACCCACTCCTCCTTCCTGTCATTCAAATTCTTCAAAGGGTGTTGTAAGGTTTTTTATTTGTTATGTCAATGTGATGTTGCCTAAAAATCCCAAAGCTGTTAGCAGTGAATAAAGATAATCATTTCTGATTGCTTTCTTTAAAAAAAAAAAAAAGGAAGAAAAAAGGTGATAAGAAAACGTAAAGAAAGCCCGGTGGTGGTACTTTAGAATTGGGGCTTAGGTTAAATATTTCTTATTTTCTTTAACGTGACAAAACCATCTTAAGAAAACACACAGCTAAGACATAGTGGCAATAATTCGTATAAATGAGGCTATTAACTGAGCTACCAACGCCATTAAAAACAATTAGTTCGTACTTCTGAAAGGCCTCAGAGAAATCTTAAGATGTAGGAATTGCTTTGTGCAATTCTAAAAAGAATGTCAGGCTCTATGTTGGATTACTATCCGGTCCGTTTTATTGTAATTATTCAGAGATTCTGTAAGACTACGTCTCAAAAAATAATGAACAGTTAATGAACTACACCATAACCAAGTCGGACTTGGGCCAGGTCAGTTGAGTTTCTTGAGAGGAGAGAGAATAGGGACACGTAAGTGGGAACTGTGTGGGCAGGTGTATTCCTGCTGAAAACAGGACTAACTCGCATGGCAGTCCAGCCCTCTGAAGAACTAGGTATAAATCTGTCATTAAAAATGAGTGTTATATTATTGATTTAAAAAGTAGTCAAGTATTAGCTTCCAGTATTTTAATTTTAAAGAGCATCATTGGGTACAACTGTTACAGCTTGAGTCAAAGAAGACAAATCATGTTCCTTCCGTGAGATGTTCCTTAAATTCATCTTAAGTTAAGTTTGACTTGAAAATTTTCAGGAAACTGTGCTGAGCCTAAAAATTCCTCCAAACCTTAGCATCTGTTCTGTATCCACAAATGGAAATTACTACATGTCAAATGCAAGAAGATGCTATTTCCTTTAGACAGTGTCTTTTTTTTTTACAAGTTTACATCAAAAGTCTTCTTAGACCTTAACAGTGTTTTGTTTCCTTGTGGCAGGACAGCTAATGTCTGATCTTTTGCATGTTCTCCCACCCAGTGCCCTGCCAGACGGTTCTAGATTACTTGAAGACGGTGCTACAGCATCACAACCAACTCATGATCCCACAGCCAGTTGAGCAGCCCTCCGAGGTAGGTCTCCGTTTGTTATAAGGTAAATGTTGTTCCATTGGGAATTTCCTCAAAATGAAGCGTCTTGATGGCTTACCCACATATACCAGAACAAGTTGGCTAACAGAATACATTTCTGACTCGCTGAGGCTTACGGGTCTATCACTTGTGAGTATGTAGACTGTGGCAAAAGATGATGATGCGTGTATTTAACTCACAAAGAGTCAGTCTGTACTCTGGGAGCGATAAGAGAGAAGTGGAAGTTTCCATAATGTGGGAAGTTTTTCTGCCATTCTTTTGGCACAGGGAGGGCTGGAGATGGGAGCCTCCACCTGTTGATCCTCAGGCAGAGCCAGGGTTCTGGAACGCCCCTTTCTGTCACCCAAGCCGAGGTCCTCCGGTGTTTAGGGCCCCGGAACGCGAGCGTTTTGTTCCCCTGGACCCCAGGAGAAGGAACCACGGTCTCTTCCAACGTGTAGGGGAAGCGGTCTGTTTTGGTGGTAATGGCTGTACCTCTTAAACCACAGTACATTTGTACAGGATCTAAGGCTCCGTTTCCTGGGCGTGTGACTTTCATCTTAGGGACGTTAGACCCTAAATCCAGTGAAAGAAGCTGTACCTTACAGGGGTTACCCATGTCTGGGGCTGATAACAGTAGATGGAAGTAGCTCAGTGTTTCCACTTGGCAGGCCGAGTTGTCCAAGTTAGTCACCGTGGGAGGTTGACCCACTCCGTCATCTCGTGGTCACACGCCCATTGACATTCCCCGTGTCCAGTGAAATAACATCAAAGTACCATCTCTGTGCTAGGCATGTAGTCGATCCTGCCCCACCCCTGTTCCCCTCCTGACCCTTGTGCCTCTCTGGTGAAGAAATACAAGGCCACAGGGTCATCCAGTCCCCCCCCCCCACTGTGAGGGGCGGGAGGAAAAGGGTGGGGTCATCTCGTGCAGACTGAGACTCACGTGCCTTGTGACGTGAGATGCTCCCTTTCCCTGAGATTTGGAGGAGGGGCGTCAGAGGTCTGGTGCTTTCCGGCAGCCTCAGCCTGTCCCTAGTCCCACCGCACGCCCTCTCTCGAGTTCAGCAAAAAAGGAAGGTACCAAGTTGAATTCAGCGTACTGCCTTCTGCCACACTGGTTTCAACCTTCGTGCACACCCACACCCCCATTGTGGGCAGTGCCTTTGCCAGTGCCCCTGGCCCACGGCTAGGTTACCCAGCGCCGCCTCCTTCTTGTGCCAGCCTTTATTCTTTGTCTCGTGAACTGTTTCCTCTCTTGTTTCTGGGCCATTCTCCCGAGTATCAAGCACACTCAAGTCTTCCCACCCTGACAATAAGCCTTCCTTTCTTCCTCCTCCTCTCCGCCAGTTACTATCTTTCCTTTCTCCTTCCCTCACCCAGAGAGTCCCCTGTCAGCACGTCCAGTCTGCACCTCTGTCAGCATGTTCACAGCACATCTCCCTCCCCGAAGCCTTGGCCAGCCTCATCCCCGTTAGCCTCCCTGGTGCCGACCATTGAAAGCACTTGCCAAAGGGGGACCTCGTCTTTTAAAAGTGATTAGACATTCGAAAGGCGGCTCTCTATTCGTCATCTCCACCCTCTTAACCTCCACTTGCTCTCCCACCGCCTGTAATCTGTCTGCAGCCCCACTGCGCGTCAGAACGCCTGTAAGAAGCCTGAGAACGGTCCCATCGCCCAGTCCAGGGCCCTTTCTCAGCCTGGGTCATCCCCAGCACTTCACCCTCCTCCACTGCCTCCGTGGCCTTCACGTCAGGACGCTCTTCTGGTTCCCAGCCTTCTCCGTCCGGTGTTCGCCAGAGTTTCATCCTGCGTTCCCTCTCTCTCTCTTTTTTAATTGTACTTTCTTTTCTTTTTTGAATATATATATATATATATTTTTTATTAATTTCAGAGAGGAAGGGAGAGAATCATTAATCAGCTGCCTCCTGCACGCCCCACACTGGGGATCAAGCCGACAACCCAGGCCCATGCCCTGATGGGGAATCGAACTGTGACCTCCTGGTTCCTAGGTCAACGCTCAACCACGGAGCCATGCAGCCGGGCCTGCATTGTTCTCTTGCTCTGCATGGCCCTTTTCCGGTCAGTCATGTTCTCTCTCTCTCTCTCTCTCTCTCTCTCTCTCTCTCTCTCTCTCTCTCTCTCTCTCTCTCTGAACATCAGACTCCTGTAGGTTAACGAGTCCCTGATCCAGCTCCAGACCACCAATCCCCAGGGCTCATCTCTGGACCAGGGAGTCCAGAGCCTGACCAGCAGTGGAATGCCATGCACCCCGAACTCAGGACACCTTTGAATGCCCACCTGGGCTCCTGCTTTATCTACAATAAAAGCAGCACTGCCTGGCCGGTGTGGCTCAGTGGTTTAGGGTCAGTCTGTGAAGTAGGAGGTCACAGCCAGGGCACATGCCAGGGTCACAGGCTCAATCCCCAGTCGGGGGCATGCAGGAGGCGGTGGATCAGTCATTCTCATCACTGATATTTCTATTTCTCCCTCTCCCTTCCTCTCTGAAATGAACAAAAATATATTTTAAAAGGCACCATCCCTAGGCAGAAATTTCTGGGGCATCACCGACTCTTTCGTCATCCTCCTTCCTGGCACCCACGTGTTTGACAGCCATGTTGAATAGTCTCTCTTCTTGTCTCTGGTTCATGTTCACCACTTTTCACCTGGACTGTTGACAGTAGATTCTGCCTTCTCCATTCTCCACACTGAACTTAACTTCTCTAAAGTACAGATTCAAGATGAATGTCACATACTTGATTGCTCCTCAGAAAGGGCTCATGGTTTCCTAACTTAACATTTCTATTGTACCAAAAGCACATCTGAAAAGCCCACTTTCCCCCAGAAGCTTTCCCTGATGGCCATACCCTCTCTGCTCCGCGGGCACATTGTTCATAAGATGAATTCTGCGCTTACTGAAAACTCAGTGTCCACCTGAGTCTTATATTTGGTTGATTCTATGAAGACATAGAGCACTGTGCATCTTGGTTTTTTTCAAAGTTGACTCACCAGTAGGTCAGGGTTTAATAACCTGTTGGTAGCTAGTTGAGAATAGCATGCAATCGGAATTCCATGAAAACATGAAAGTAGGGGAAATACCTACATTTCCTCTGCATAGGACTATTTAAACTTGACTTGTCATCATTAATGCTATGTTATTTTTATTGTCATATCAGACATATAAGCATTTTCTCATTGGTGGTATTTACTACATTTAATTTCTATTAACTATGTATAATAAATCTCATCCACAACACAGATTATTCTGAGCTGTTTTGAACTGTAAGTTACTTTCTCTTTTTTCTTTTTAAAGAAAATTGCCTTCAAATGCTATTTCTGTATTTTATGAGAGCTACATTTTATGGAAAGGTATCTGAGTATATTTTGTAAGGATTTGAGAAAGCTCCTTCCTTGTATTGTCACTCCCTAATCTCAAGTACCGCCTGTCTTTTTTTTTTTAATTTAATAAATCTTTATTGTTTAGATTATTACAATAGTTTCTCCTCCCCCCCCCAAAGCTCCCCTCCACCCGGTTCCCACCCCACCCTCTGCCCTTACCCACACTCTTGTCCTCATTCATAGGTGAACTATTTTAGTCCAGTCTCTTCCTGCACCCCCCAAACCCCTTTTCCTCTGATAATTATCAATTTACTTTCTTTCATTGCCCCTGATTCTATTATATTCACCAGTTATTCTGTTCCTCAGATTTTTAATTCGCTTGATTTTTAGGTTCACTTGTTGATAGATATGTATTTGTTGTTCATAATTTTTATCTTTACTTTTTTCTTCTTCCTCTTCTTAAAGAATACCTTTCAGGATTTCATAAAATACTGGTTTGGTGGTGATGAACTCCTTTAGTTTTTTTCTTATCTGTGAAGCTCTATATCTGACCTTCAATTCTGAATGATAACTTTGCTGGATAGAGTAATCTTGGTTGTAGGTTCTTGCTATTCATCACTTTGAATATTTCTTGCCATTCTCGTCTGGCCTGCATAGTTTCTTTTGAGAAATCAGCTGACAGTCGTATGGGTGCTCCCTTATAGGTAATTAACTGGTTGTTGTTTTTTTCTTGCTGCTTTTAATATTTTCTCTTTGTCTTTTGCCTTTGGCATTTTAATTATGATGTATCTTGGTGTGGTCCTCTTTGGATTCCTCTTGTTTGGGGTTCTCTGTGCTTCCTGTACTTGTAAGTCTATTTCTTTCACCAGGTGGGGGAAGTTTTCAGTCATTATTTCTTCAAATAGGTTTTCAGTATCTTGTTCTCTCTCTTCTTCTGGCACCCCCATAATTCAGATGTTGATACACTTGAAGTTATCCCAAAGGCTTCTTACACTGTCTTCAACTTCTTGGATTCTTTTTGCTTTTTGCTTTTCCAGCTAAGTGTCCTTTGCTTTTTTGTATTTCAAATCTTTGACTTGCTTCTTGTGGCCTGCCTCTTTGTCTCCGAATTTTTGCTGCTTCCTGAGTAGGGTATCTTTGTGTGCTTGGTTTCCTATATGGCCCAGTGCGTAAGCCTCCCCAGTTACCTGAGATGGACACTCTTGGTGCTCCCCTTTGTGGACTGCATGTACAGCCTTGTTGTAGTTAAGTCTTGATTGTTGTTGGTATCACTGGGAGGAATTGACCTCCAGGCCAATAGGCTGTGAGTATCAGCTGTGTCTATGCCGGGACACGTTCTGTATTTGGAGACATCCTTATAGGACCAGACTTGCAAAATTGCAAAAGCCTCTGCGCTCAGCTTGGATGGGGCTGAGTCTCAAGGCTGGGCCGACAGTCTTGACTTACCATAATCCCTGCCCTTGCGCATGTGCCACCAGATCTCTGCCTTCCACGACTCCCCTGAGTTTCCACCTGACAGTCCAGATTCCCCCTGCAAGAGTGTGTGTGCCCCCAGGGCTCACCAGGAACTGGGTTTCAGTACAGTGGGAACGGGGATTCAGTGCAGTCAGGAGCTTCCCACTCCTTTCGCTACAGAGAGGCTGCAGCAACCTCTACAGTCAGACCTCTCTGCGTGCACTCACGGGCGCTCACACCACTAGAACCTTGTCCGCTGCAGCTCCCCAGAGCTTCCGAGTCTCCGTGTGCCTTTCTCTACAGTCCAGACTCCCCCATATGAGCCTGGGTCCACAGGGTTTTGGCTTGAGCTGGGATTCAGTGCAGTTGGTGATTTCCTTTCCCCTCCCACCAGCCAGGCACTCGGCCGCCCTTCCTCTCTGCATATGTGTCTTCCTACTTCAGCACTTTGCGGCACCTCTGATCCATGAGCTTTTCTCTTTCCTTCTAGGTGTACAATTTCCACTCAGCCCGCTCTCCTGTGGTTTTGGATGATGTCCGTTCTGTCTTTTAGTTGTTGTTTTGAAATTGTTGTGCGAGGCAGCAGTTTAGGTGCTTACCTAGGCCGCCATCTTGGTTTCTCCAGAGCAATAGTCTGAAGCTGGGGTGGATGCCACCACCGGGCCTGTGCAAATTCACAAGCCAGGTCCTCGGCAGCCAGAAGCGGTGGCAATAGCCAAGTACCGCCTGTCTTGAAATAGACTCAACTCTGGTCCAAGAGACAAACTCTTGAGTTTGGGGGCATGGGAGACTATGGGAAAGGACTTAACTTAGGAGACCCTGGGAAAGGGTTGAACCTCCTTGGCCACACAGCTCTGGGAATCCTAGCTTGTCAGATGAGCTCTCACACCCGAGGGAAAGCCCTTTTAAAACTTGCGCAGTGTGGAATGACCACAAGGTTTTAAAACTAGTTGCACCGTCTCTTTTTCCCAGGCTGGCAGGAACTTACAGGGACCACAGCTAAGAAGCTGGTTTTCACCTAATGAAGGTGGGAGTCCTCTGTCTTCCTAGTCCTTTTTTATGGTCCTCTGACTTTGGTGGTCTCCTTTAAGTTCTTTAACGTTGCCAGTTTATTAGTCAGAAGCTCTTCAAGAAGCCTGCATTACAGCGCGTTGCTGAGTGACTGCCGTCTGCTGGTCACAGTGGCATACACTGCGTCTTTAGTCACAGATGTTCATCACACCTGCTCTCTCGTGCACTGTTCTCGGCCCTGGAAGAAGGCACAGACTAAAGGAGATAATCATCCCAGACCCCGTGGGTTTATCTTCTGGTGGGGAGATTGGTGGACTCCTGCCCATAGGCCCACAGGCTGAGATTATCATCCTTATTGGACAGAAGAGAGCTTAAGTTGAGAGAACTTGTCACCTGGCCAGGGCCTGCGCCAGAGCCCACCACTGAGCTTACACCAGCATCTCGGCCTGTGGCCAGGGCACAGAGTGCGTGTGGCAGCCTCGGGCTGCTCACCGTGGCTCGATACCTGGTGATAGTTATTCGTGAGGCTCTTCCACAGCAGTGCTTTTGACACAGTTGGTGGCCTGAGGCAGCGAGCCTTGGCTCCACCTTCCCCAGGCCCCTGCGCTCGGGGCTGAGGGGTCAACTGATCAGAACCCTGTGACCCCTTCCTCCCTGTGCATGGGAACCAGTGGCATTCTCTTCCTCGTACCTGCCTTTGTCTGCTCCCAAAACATACCCTCTGATCCGCATCTTTGTGAAGGGCACCCCACTTCTCCTGGGAATCATCTCGGCTCCCCAGGCTCCCATACCGTGGCTCTCTGAATATGCTTGCCTGACCCCCTTGAGTCTACATCGTTCACGCTGGTTTCCGCAGCTACACTGCCACAGACTCGAGTCATTCCTCCCTCTCAGCTCCCCCATGACACGGCAGTCTCGGCTGAGGTGCCCTTTGGTACCCTGGGCTCCTGCCCACCATCACTTTATCATTTGCTGTAATACACAGAGTCAGGGTTGAGTTATGCTCCCAAATACTCGCATCTTAAACCTTAAATCTATGGTAACTTAATTCATTCCTTCCATTTTACGGTCAGGGAAACGTGGACCCAACAAGTTGAAGTAATAACTTGCTCAAGAAACACAACAAGACCCGGAGCCAAGATTAGATTAAAACCCACTGGAACCCTGGCCAATGTGCCTAAGCAATTAGAGTGTCAGCCCATGGCCCTTGGGTTCAACTCTCAGTCAAGGGCACGTACCTGAGTTGCAGGTCTGTTCCCTGCCCCCCAATCAGGGCACATAGGTGAAGGGACTCCCAATGGCTGTGTCTCTCTTACATTAATTCCCACACACACACCCTTCCACTATCTGAAAGTAATAGAAGCTGGAACTGGTGTGATCCAGTGGATAGAGCGTCGGCCTGCGGACTGAGGGGTCCCAGGTTTTGATTCCTGTCAAGGGCGTGTACCTTGGTTGCAGGCACATCCCTAGTAGGGAGTGTGCAGGAGGCAGCTGATTGATGTTTCTCTCTCATCGATGTTTCTGGCTTTCTATCCCTTTCTCTCTTCCTCTCTGTGAAAACTCAATAAAATATATTTTTTAAAAAATAAAAGCAATAGAAAAATATCCTCGGCTGAGGATTAACCAAAAAAATTAATAATAAATAAGGTGACTTTAAATGCAAATACAAACCATGTGCCACATCCTCCCTTAAGATGGGAGTCACACTACTGAGCCGCACTACTGCTAATTCAAGGAAGGATGAATGAATGCTGTGAAGATGAGTATGATTCGGTGGCAGTTTCATAGCCAAATCTGGCCGTCCCCTTCCTGTTGGCGTCTGTGCTGTTTGCCCTTCTCAGTGCCTAACTGCCCAGAGCACTTTTGAAATAAAACCCTAATAGACCCAAACATTGTCAAATTTATCGCCTGTAGTAAATCTGCAGCATTGTAAAATGGAGTGCGTTTCCCCTTCTTTATTTGGTACACCTTAATTACTGGGGAAGGAGTACATTAAAACTGAGATCATGGGTTAATTAATCGTCCTGGACTGTAGAATTTTATGGATAGCCAGAACTAAAGTAATGGTTGTGTAGGAGCCGTTGACTAAACATGGATTATAAATGTTACAGAAATCCCCATAATTAGTCCCACTGCAGCTATTTAGCTTGGGGATTTTATAGCAGACATAAATTATGAAGGTGAAAAGTGCGAAAAATTTTGAGTTGACATAGTGGCATTTGCAAAAACTATAATTTGAAGGGGAGAAAAAAAAACACCTGTTTTGTACTATTAGTAATTTTTTTTTCCAGTTTCCACAATTCTCCCTTTTTAAATTTTACTTTTTAGCGTTTCCTCTATCATGCAATCAATGGCCATCAGGCGTTCGGTGCATACACACAAGTGCTACCTCACGAACATAGACCCCCAGCCTCATCGCCACAGGGGGAAGGGGCCTCTGTGATCACACTCCTCAAAGCCATTTCTGCATATTTTAATACATTGAAAAGGAAAGTTACCTGGCTCTATTTAAATAGTGTTCCCTGTCATTGGATCCCGACACATTTTAACCTACCTGTTAAAATGCAAGTTATAAATAGCTTCCGCTTTCAAAGGTGTTCATTATACCTCATTGGCTCTTGTTATAGAAAATGCAAATGTAATTTGAAAAGTGCCCGTTGTGAGTGTGAGCAATTACGTGTGCTCTTCAATACCCGGCTCATTGTCAGCACACACAGCCACTCCGCTTGCCTTTGAAATGGAGATCGCCTCGGCATCTGGCTGGCTGGCTAAGTGGGTAATGAGAAAATATTTCGCTTTTCCAGGGAAGCAAGCAGCTGTTGAACAACTATCCTGTCTACATAACGAGCAAACAGTGGGACGAGGCTGTAAATTCTTCAAAGAAAGACGGGAGGCGGCTCCTGCGGTACCTCATCAGATTTGTTTTCACAACCGATGAGCTTAAGTACTCGTGCGGCCTTGGGAAAAGGAAAAGGTCAGTGCAGTCAGGAGAGACAGGTCCCGAAAGACGCCCTCTGGATCCAGTTAAAGTAACATGCCTCCGAGGTACTGCATCCTTCCGCTCAGCGTCGCCATCTGTGATCTCATTTCACCGCATTGGCTGTGGCTCGCGTGCAAGTGTAGCCCTTCCTTTTTTTTTTCTTTTCTTTTCCTCCCCACACTGAGACCTCATAGGCTTCATGCGGCCCATCTATTGGGTATCGACAAGTTTTTTTTTTTTTTTAATCCTGGTTTGCTTTAGCCTTGGTGTCCTCCCTGAATGGCACGTAGCATTGATAGCACCTCATGTTTCACGCTGACTCGCTCTGCTGCCAGAGAAGGCCATCTCCAGCCACACTGAGCCGTGGCACAGAGGAAGGGAAGGCGTGAAATGATTCGTTTTAATTAGCCAAGTGGTAGGGAGAGCCCATTTTCACTTGCAGCCTGTAGCCCACCCCCTCCCCATCTAGCTTCCCTCCAGAATATGTGCCCCCAACTCCTTAAACTTATTTAGAATTCATTTTCCTCAGTATCCAGAGTATTACTTGGCCCTATCAAACTTGATTCGTTTCAAAAAAGTTCCTGTATTAAAAATACTACTTAGGTAATACTGGATCAGAATTAATAACTGGTTACTTTGCAACTGATCCACACTTGGTAAGCCAGGCAGGGGCTGAGGTGGAAGAATCAAGAGATACACCATTCACGCAGCAGGTCCAAATAGACAGACATTAGACAACCAGGAACATTAGAGAGCCAACAAAAAAAAAACGGTTCACACCTGAAAAATGTCATACTAAGAAGCTCAGCTGTTCACCTGGATAGGTCAGTAGCAAGTTTGTTGGTTGGAAAGATTTCACAGTGACTTACCCTGAAGATCGATCACATATTTCTCGACGAGGAAGCCACAGGGAAAGCCTGAGCATTGACCAGCCTCAGTTGTACCCGGGACACACTCCTGCACTCCCTGCTGGGTGCCCACAGTACCTGTTAGTGTGTCTAAACGCCTGTGTAGTATTTGTTAGCAGCCGAGTCCCCCACACCCGTCCTGGGCGTCTGATTCAGCTGGGCCAGGGCGGGCATGGGGAGGCATGCATTGCTGTGCCTCAGGCCCATCCCCGGTGATCCTGAGGCCAGTGGTCCTAGTGGCCCTTACTTCATACCACTAGGGCTCTGCAGCACCTGTGCCTAGTGCAGGAATACACCCTTATTAACCAGGCACAGGTGCTGCAGAGCACCCCCTGTTAGCAATTCTGGAAATTCCACTTGCTCAGAGTGGGTATGATGGAAATTTTCAGGGTCTCTCTGAGCCAACTAGCCATGATGTCCTATATTTTCCAACATCATCAGAGCTGATGGGATACTCACCACGAGGACCAGAGACAGGAGCGGGCCTGGGACTCCCCTGAACTTGACTCCATGAAGCTGGCCTGGGGCTAAGGGACTCAGAATAAGGGGCCTCAAGTGGTGTCCCTTTCCAGAAATCCTTATGAAACACTAGAGGCCCAGTGCATGAAATTCGTGGACTCAGGGAGTCCCTCAGCCTGGCCTGGGCCCTCTTGCAGTGCGTGAGCTCTTGGGGGGTGTAAGCTGGCAGTCGGACATCCTTGGCGCTGCTGCGGAGCCAGGAGAGGCTCCTACCACCACCACTGCGCTCACCAGCCGTGAGCCCGACTTCTGCCTGAGTGCACTGACCAGCGGGGGGGCAGCTTCTGCACTGAGCATCTGCCCCCTGGTGGTCAGTGCGCATCCTAGCGACCCGTTCTGCCATTCAGTCAATCTGCATGTTAGCCTTTCATTATATAGGATTTTACATATTAACTAGCAAGTATGTGAAACAGGGATTAGCATACGTCCCAAAGCACCAGAGCCTGTGCCCTGAGGATGCTGCCACACCCACTGCAGCACTAACGCCGGCCAGGCTGCCTGAGCAGAGCTGCCTTCTCCCGCCGATGCCCACGTGGGGACATGACCCACAGGCCTCCACTGGAGAATGTGTGGGCCCAGAATGTCTGTCCAGGGCAGCTGGTTAGCGCATCTGTATGTCTGTCCCAGAGGCTGCAATGCTAGGGCCCTGCTGTGACCTCGATGGGCTCCTCTCCCTACAGGCTGGGCCTGGTGACTCACAGGCGTGGTGCACAGGGTGACAGCGGCCAGGGAAGCCTCAGGCCACAGGACACTCTTAGTGATGGGCAGCAGGGAGCTCTGGGAATAGAATCTCAGCCCTGGGTTGGCCTGCTCCTGAAATGCTTCCTGTCTGCTTAGCAGAATGAGCCCCACCTTCAGCTTTTAATAGTCTGTGAGTTTCAGGGAACGTCCTGTCACAGCGGGAGATGGGGAGCATGAGAGGCGGGGGTGGGGGGAGGTGTCGTGGCAGCGCATCCTCACCCATTAGCCTCTCTTTCCTCTCGCTGATGCTTTTGAGTCTCTCATTTCCTTGGGTTCACGTGAGTGGGGGATCTGAACAGATAGGGGGGATATTCAAACAGTTGTTGAATGCTTGCTGAATGCAGCAGGGACTTGAGAAGGACAGAGGGGAATAGGAAACAGCCCCTGGCTTCTGGAGCTAATCAGTAGCCCGGCTGGAGATGGTTGGAGGCCAGCGGTGAGAGAATAAGGTGTAGATGTTTGAGTCCTGAGGTCCCAGATACCTCCTTTCTCTGCCCAGCACAGCGATGACCTGGGTTTTAGAACTGCCCTTTAGTGTTCCCCAGGCTCGCACCCCAGGACAGACCGTCAGGTTGCCCGCAGTTTGCAGAGTGAGGAGCTGAATTAACAGCCACCAGGGCTGGGACTGAGTGAGGCCAAGTGAGCATCTCACCTCGGGCAGAATCAAAGGGTCTGCCACGCCAGCAACCTGGGCGGTCTCCCTCCCCCTCCCGCTTCTCTCAGCTGGAGTCCACTGGCGTGGGCACAGGTCAGGGCAAGGGAGTTCTAGGTCCAGGAACTCAAAGCATTAGCATCTGCCCAGGGCAGGTAGAGTGCGGATTTCACAGAGCCATTCCAGACCAATCCAGTTGTACAGTGAGAACTACCGTCCTGCCGAGGGAGCATTGCCAGAAAGGAAAAGGTGTGTGAAAAGCAGTCATCCTGAACTTGCAGTCGGCCGGGCAAAAAGCACAGGCAGACGTACAACCTTCCCACCACGGCCACTGCATTTTACAGCTGTTCCTGTTGGAATAGCTGTAGGGGTAGGGATGATGTAGGTGCCCCTCACCCCGGAGGAAACACAAAGGGTTCGTTTGGGCTCATCCACAGGAGGCCACGTTGGTTTCATTGGGGCTCAGCTATTTTTTATGTATTTATACTCTTCCAGGCACGCTAATTGCTTTCTGGCGGAACTAAATATTTAGAGGAAACCTCCTTTGTAAAATACTTGAGAGTGCATATCTAGGCAATTAGAGAAATCAGTATCACCTACAACGTTTTAAGAGTGTGCACACCTCTTCTAGAAACTTTTAGGCCATGTCTCACTCCTGGAGATTGTGATTTTATTGCACTTCATCTACAAGTTAGTAGCTGACTGAAGAATGCTATGTGAACAATTTGCTCTGCTTCTGGAGATGGTTAACACCCTAAAACCGTGAGGCAGTAACAAGGGTTTTAAAAATGTGACTCACTCACTTTTACCAGGCATGGCACCTGCCATGCCTTACAAGTCAAGTTTACTTTCCATTTCAATAGCAAGTGGTCCTTAGAAGGACCGCCCTCTTGCTTACGGGATTTGACTCCGCGCGTGCGCGAGTAGGAAACTTGCAGTGTAATGAGTGACATCATCATGGCATTGCATTGGAGTTCTCATAAAGCTTCTCTAAGAGCTTCTGTTAACGTGCAAGCAGCCTCTCCTGCCATCTTCTGCAAAAACCAGCTGTTTCTCTCTCTCTCTCTTCTATTGTGTGCATTCCCACAGAGTTCATTAGGATGCACTGTACCTCCAACCCGGACTGGTGGATGCCCTCGGAGGAGCAGATAAACAAAGTGTTCAGCGACGCCGTGGGCCATGCCCGGCAGGGCCGCGCGGTGGGGACGTTCCTGCACAACGGCGGCTCGTTCTACGAAGGCCTCGACCACCAGGCCCCCCAGGACGACGTCTTCAGTAAGAACTCCCAGGATGGGTCTGGGGACTAGTGGACAAAACCTTCCCGCGGCAGCGGCCGGTCCTCTCCAGAGTCGCCATCGTGACTGTCCTGTCTCCATCGCTGTAGAGCCCACCGCATGGCGTCCGCCAGGATGCACATCCTCAGTCTTAACTCTCTGACCTTCTGCCGCGGTTCCCGGACGGAAATGCGTTTTGGGTTGTTGGGGAAGTCTGTGGAGCCTGCCGCAGGTTTTCAGAATTCTATATTATAAAGGGAAAAGGCTATCATTGATCTTAGAAGACCACGTGGTGAGGAAGGGGGCCGGGGAGTGGAGACAAACTCCTGGTCACCTGTCCGAGATCTTCACATCAGTCCTGCTTCCTGCACAGAGCTGGCCCCCATGGAAGATTGGGCTGTGTTCCTGCCCACGAGGGAAGGTAGAGACAAGGGTTATTGAAAGGGACAGGAGCAAGCATTCTCTTTAATTCAAATAAGTCGTCTTTATGTTTTCCAAAGACTTGAATTCATGCTTCTCGGCAAAGACATCAGATAGGTGACGTAATATGCTCTGTCTCCATTGACAGAGCCTATTATTGAGTAGAAGCCAGAGAACAGAGGCCATCTCTAGACAGTGATTAGTTGAAAGCTATTTTTCTCGATTATTTTTACCAAAAAAAAAATCCTCTGCCAGGTTGATCAGGGAGGCACTAAGTGACCTCTGGAGTTTACAGACAGTCATAGTTTTCATTGTGTCAGTCAGGAAACATCCAGAGATCCCAGCCATTGTAAAATGCTTGACTCTGTAGGTTCCAATAACCGTAAGTCAGGCTCTGTTGACACAGTGCCAAAGTGGCGGGTTAAACAAGGAGCATTTCTGTCAGCCCGTGGTTCGGTGCACTGAAGACCAAACAAGTGGTGTGGCTGATGGTGTCGGCTGGGTTGACCAGATGTCCCGGAATTGCGTGTACACAGCTTTAAGGCCGTTCTGACAGCTCTGCAATGGGCTTGTGCAATTTCTCTGAAATTTGAGGGTCTTTGTGTGCTCAGTTGATCTCTAGAATTTGCATAAAACTTGTTTCTCGTTGTCACTGATGAAAATTGTTTCTTCCCAACTGTGTGTGCCTGCTTCCCCCAATACTCCCCTGAGCTACCAGCTCTGTTAACACCCACCGTCCCTGGTTTAATTTGTTGAGCCCCCTTTGTGTGAATCAGTAGTGTCTTACCCAGATGCTGCAGATAGAGGCTAGGAACTGTTCGGAGGGCCTTGGGTTTGGACCTCAGAGAGGTTTGGACCTCAGACTAATGCTGGTGTCACATCCTTTGTAAGCAAAAGGCTAAGTGGACAGCACTGGTTTTGTTTGTTTTGGGGGTTTTGGGACAGCATTGTTGATGGCTGTTAATGTCATCTACAGACATGACTATAAAGATTTTGGAAATTCATTTAAAGTTTATGAGTATCCATTTTTAAAGCAGTTATTTTTGCCATTTTTTTGTTAAAGTAAAATATTCCTTTATGTTCAACAATTTGCATCAACTAAATGCACAGGCCTAGAAATAGGTCCTTCTTTAGCTTTTTAAATAGTTTCAACCATTGAAAGGTTTAATATTTATAGAGATGGTCATTTGTCAGATCTGTAAAGTTGTGGAGGGAGGACTAATATTTTGATCCTATATTGAAAAGGTTACCTAAAATCTTGAGGGTTTTTTTTTTTTTTTTAAGAAATTATAAGGGCGAAAGAGATGTTGTTTATGGGTACCATGAGACTAATATTTGGCTATACAAAGAAAAAAATACTTCTGAAGAGTTTTAGAGGTCTAGGAAATCAGTATTTTGTAAGATTCTTTGGTAACATGAAATCTTGGCCAGAAGAAAAATAACCACTATAACCTGTCAGTCCATCTTATTTTTCTTGTTTTGCATTGGATTTTGTTATCCATAGTTCTGAGTGCATATCCCCCCACTTTTTTTTTTTTTTTTTTGTATAGCAGCAATATTTGACCACTGCTTTTTTCATTTTCTTAGAGGGAGTGGAAGGGAGAGGGAGAGACAGAGAGAAACATCGTTGTGAGAGGGGCACATCTATTGGTTGCCTCCTGCATGCACCCCACCAGGGCTAGGGAACCTGCAACCATGTGCCCTTGACTGGAATTTGCACCCTGGGGCCCTGCCATCCACAGGATGTGCTCTATCCACTGAGCCAAACCTGCTAGGGCTGCCCACTGCTTGTAAAAGCATTCAGCTCTTACCATTTTCCTAAAATCTTGAGAACTGCACACACCTTCACATCTCCGCATCACGTGGCGTGTGCTCCCCTGTGTGAGCTGGTCTTTGCTGACGGTGACGATGAGAGCATGTCTGCACTCTCCTTGGCCTTATGGCCAGCGTGCTGATGACAAAGCGCTGACACCACTCCCGTTACCACCCAGCCGCCTGGCTGCACACAACCTTGCTCCGAAGGCTCCCCTGGTCTCTTGCCCCTCGTCCCCTTTCCAGGCGAATTGTTTCTGTATCCGCTGTTCTCCACTCTTTCCCACTTTGCAAAACGCTGGAACTTCATATTGGCTCAGAAAGATGACTGAGCATCACACCGCCCGTCGGGCTCCCTCTCCTGGAACTAGGACCTGCCTCCCCCTGCCCCTGGGCAGACATTCTGTTACGTTCTTCTCTGCCCGTGTATTCCTGTCTAGCCCAGCCCGCCCAGGAGCTACAGCACGCTTGGGCGGTGACACAGGATCTGCTTAGATATTGTCCCATCTCCTTGGTCCCCGTCCCATGCCATCCTCTAGGCTTCCCCTTTAAGGCTAGTATGTTAGCTGGTCCGTGGTGGTCGCCTGCGTGGACACCCGATGTCTAAGTCAGGGCTTGCAGAGACGGCTCACTCGCTTTTCGGCAGGACCGGCGTGGCCGCTGTGTAGGACGGTTCAAAGCTCGCTGTCCCTGCTGTCAGCCTTTCCACTGACCTCTCTGGAGACCTGAAGATGGTTCTTATTTTCTCGATTTAATTTTCTACATCTTTGTTTGGAATTGGACGAATTGTTCTCGAGACAAGAAACGTAGACTCAGCTTTTAGAATCTTCCCTGAGTCGGTGGAGCCTGGGTATAAAGCAGGTCGCGTTGGCTCAGCTCCGGACTCAGCCGGGCTCCTGTGCATTGGCGTAGGAGGAGCTGGCAGGACTGGCCTGCCACCAACCACTAACGTCATGTTTTGTGACCGCGTGTGGGCCCTCACCCCGCTGTCCGAAGTGCCCATACCTTCCAACAGGCACAGCCTCTTGATGTGTCCTGAGTTTTTCCAAGTTAAAGCCTGTCACGAAGCGTACCTGCTTTCACAGTGGCCTGGAGTTCCGCTGGGCTCAGCACGCTAGTCCAGCGGCCTGCCTTGGAGGACATAGGCCAGGAACTTGGGAACTGTAGTCTGTAGTCACATTCCTCACTGTCTTTGAAGGTGCGCTGTTCAGAATTTTAGCAGTGAACCTCAATGCCAAGGGCTTTGGAGATAAACGCTAGGCATTAAAGTTCGCGCCATCCCCTTCTGCTTGAAAGTATTTCATCCGGCCCTCGAGCCCTGGCATCACCACTCTCTTGTTCCTCGTGTTCACCACAGCGTTGAGGTTATTGTCACCGTTGGCGTTTCACAGGCGTCGCTAGGAACAGAGAGGATAATGTGGAGTATCGGCATAAGATTGCTGTCACCCCCTTTGGTAGGGGAATCGGGTACATTTGACTGCTTCACAGCTTTAGATATGGATTCTTTTATAATCTGGGTCTGTCTTAGCCCTTCTAAATCATCAAAACATTGACCTTAGAGATGCCTTCATTAGGATTATAAGGAGGTTTAATTATTACAATGTATTTGATCTGACTACTCCATGTGTCCACTATCAGTAGAATGGTTTCTTCAGTCCAGTAAATATCAGGTGCTTTCCCCAGATTTGGACAATACTCCAAGCTTGGGAGTCTGCAAGTTCATGATTTCTACATCTTTCTGCCACCTTGAATGGCTTTTCCTTCTGCTGCTGTCAGAGTATGGATGAAGGATCAAATAAGATGAAATGTGCACTAGTTTCAGAAAAACAAACATAACAGAGCCTTCGATTAGATTCTGTCATTTATTATATGCTCTAGAATTTAAACCTCTGACCCACTGACTACCTCCTTAGTTTTTTTTTTTAGATTTTAATCATTTAAAATACCTCATTCTTAGGTCACTTCATTTTTTAGAAAATATTTAAATGTATAACTTCTCATTCAGTCCTGTGTCATTTCACAGTACAGAGCTGTGTGATATTTGACAGCTCAGATACAAACTTTGAGAAATGTAATAGAAAATGATTTTGCACATATGGTGCAAGTCTGGCTAATGTCTATGTAATGTGGCAACACTTAACCAAAACTGCCTGGCAAAACATGTCAAACGGAATGCCTGAGTCAGAGTTCTAATGTAGATGTGTCTGAACAGCAGCATGTATCATTATGATATATTTTTGTAAACATGCTTCTTGCTGTGGTGTAAGTACCGGATAAAAATAACCACTTTGCTTGGAATAATTAGGAAAATGTCACCCAGTCAATGGCCCTCTAGCATTGTCAGCCAGTGGCTCTTCTTTTTGTGTTGTTTTTTAGAGGAGAATGAGGAATTGATACCAGACAATGTGGAGTGCAAAAATAATCACCCATCCATATTTGCCTCCTAATATGTAAAACTTAAAGCTGTGCCATATATTTACAAACAAGAGACCATTTTGACCCTCCACCGTAGACTTATTTGTGAAAAGTATTGAAGGACCGTGCTCCTGATCAGTTTGGCTATTGAAACCTCTTAAGTTACCAATATTTGTGGTAAACGTGACCAGTTTAATTTTTCTCGTGAGCATAAGGGCTAGATTTTCACTGAGTCACACTTCCCCAGATTGCAATGAAAATACACCTGCTAATGAGACTTGTTCAAACACCAGTTCATTCTCAGAACAACTGCACCAATACAAGGGCCCAGGGGTCTTTGCCTTGTTGGAAAGCTGAGGTCCCTCCAGAACCACGGACAGCAACAGTAATGCCCACAGCTGATGGTCATCGAGCTCCTGTGTGCCGGGTGCTTTGCTAAGGCTGCTACTGTCATCACCGTTTTATTGGTGAGGTCTCTGCCCAGGATATCAGCTAATAAAAGGATCAATTTGGGCTCATTGAGCAGAATGCCTAGTTCGGTTTTCCCTGTAGTCAAAGTTCTCAAATAAATAAATAAATAATCTTTTTTAAAAAGTAGTGAATAAATTTAAATCTTTTATTTGTTCGGATTTATTCTATACTTTCCCAGTATAAAAATGCAAGGATATCAAAGCAAACATTTAGACTGAGCGAAGTGATATTTTTGGGGTGGACTCCTAGATGTCAGACACGGCATCCGTCAGCCAATGTTCCATTTGCTTCTGCCCTGTGTCCGTAGCCTTTGACTCGACGAGTCTGGTTGGAAAAGAGGGTTTTGATTTTTGATGTCACTGTGAAAACTGTCGTGAAGATTTTGTAGGAAAAATAACAGTAACCTGTCGATTCTTTCCTGTGGTTGTGGCTTTACCATCTCTGTCTGTGTGTAAGTTCAAGAGCATGCCAAGGCCAGGAAGGCGTGGCTTGTGTTCCTTGGAAACGGGGCATGCCGAACCCAGAGCTGGGTCCCGAAACGTTCCACGTCTCTGGTCCGGCTGCCCCTGCCCCGTGTAAGCATTGCCTTTATGTCTCTGGAGCTCTATGTAGCAGCCTGACGCTGGGCCGACCTGCCTTTTCCCTGTTTTCTATGACGAACACTCGTGGAGAAACTGTGACAAATCCATTGACCTTGATATTTTTATTGTGGGAGTCCTGTTGATTCTCTACGAATCCCTTCTCTTGGATTGTACTGTGTAGAGTTTGAACGCCCACTTAGGGACAAGTGAATAGAACTATACATGCATAGTGTAATATAGAATAGCAGGATTTTTTTGTGGACAATTTATATAGAAGAGTGCGTTGTTTTTTAAGTGGTAGGCACCTTTCTTTTAGGAACTGAAAATGTTATACGAGTTTTTTAAGCATTTAATATTTTTTAATTATCAGAAACATTTGTTACTAGAGCCAGTTATTTCAGGTGTTCTAATTGGAGTATTGATTTTATTACCTCATATACCTCTAGAAGGCCACGTGTTCTGTTGGAGATAAAAATTGCACAATAAATGTCAAGTCTCTGTTAAGTGTTTTAACTTGCTTTATTTTTTTGTATCTTTAATTCTTTGAAGTCACTTTGCTGGGTTTTTTTTTTTTCTTTCTTTCTTTAAGGAGAATGATTTTCTCCCTTATCTCTGAGTGCCAAAGCTTTTCTCCTTAACTCCGAATGCCAAGAAAATGTTAAATACTTGGTACCCAAGTAAAAGCTCTCAGTTATGTCAGGGGACTGACCAAAAACCGTCCAAAAATTTCCATTTGACCCAGTGAATGGAAGGGACAACCAGGGATGATCTATCTAGGAGAGAGACGGTGTCAAAGATTTCCTTCCAGTGTTTTGTACATTCACACTTTACACACCTCTTTCCTACTCACAGTACCTTTCTCTCAGGAGGAGGCAAACACCCTGCCCCTGCTACGCATGGCCCTGAACAATGAACAGATGCTGATTATATATGGCTTTTATTTAATTTATTTATTTTTAATCCTCACCTAAAGACATGCTTAGAGGAAAGGGGGAGAGAGGGGGAAAAAAAACACGGATGTGAGAGAGAAACCTGGATCTCTTGCCTTCCATACACTCCCCGACCGGGGATCAAACCCACAACCCAGGTATGGCTGTGTTTAAGTTCGGGAGTTGAGCTGGCACCAGTTTGGCTCAGTGGTAGAGCGTCGGTCCGCGGACTGAAAGGTCCTGGGTTCAATTCCGGTCAAGGTCATGTATCTTGGTTGCGGGCACATCCCCAGTAGGGGGTGTGCAAGAGACAGCTGGTCGATGATTATCTCTCATCGATGTTTCTAACTCTCTATCCCTCTCTGTGAAAAATCAATAAAATATATATATTTTTTAAAAGTTCGGGAGTTGAGCCAAAACCGGTTTGGCTCAGTGGATAGAGCATCAGCCTGCAGATTGAAGGGTCCCAGGTTCGATTCCAGTCAGGGGCATGTACCTTGGTTGTGGGCACATTCCCAATGGGAGGTGTGTGAGGGGCAGCTGATAGATGTTTCTAACTTTGTGTCCATCTCCCTCTCTGTAGAAAATCAATAATTTTTTTTTTTTTTAAGTTCGGGAGTTGGAACTGACAACCTTTGGGTGCATAGGACAACGCTCAAACAACTGAGCCACTCTAGCAGGGCTACTTATGGTTTTTAAATAGTGATCTGAGCACAAAAGCAAAGTAGCTATGGATAAAGTGGCATGATTGTATCTTCTCACTTTGAGTTATTGCATAGAATGCAAATCTGATGTATCAACTCCTATAGAACAACATTGAAGTATTGTTTCATGAGTCAGATGAAGTGAACACTAAGACAAAATACATTGTTTCATTTTAGGGAAAATATAAAGATGTTTTATTTTTGCACTAGAAGATGCAATGTCTTAACCCATAGTTATGAATGGAAGAGCAACAATTAATATTTGACAAAGGAGGCACGAATATACAATGGAGTCAAGACAGTCTCTTCAATAAATGGTGTTGGGAAAATTGGACAGATACATGCAAAAGAATGAAACTAGATCACCAGCTTACACCAGACACAAAAATAAACTCAAAATGGATACAGGACTTAAACATAAGACGGGAAACCATAAAAATACTAGAAGCATCCACAGGCAGCAAAATCTCAGACATGCCAAAAGAACTTCTTCACTGATACTGCCCCTAGGGCAATGGGAGCTAAAGAGAAAATAAATAAAAGGGACTACATCAAAATAAAACGCTTTTTTACAGTAAAAGAAACCATGAACAAAACAACAAGAAAGCCCACTGTGTGGGAGAACATATTTGCAAATAATACCATTGATAAAGGTTTAATCTCCAACATCTACAGACAGCTTATACAACTAAATAAAAGGAAGATGAATGATCCAATTAAAAAATGGGCAATGGGCCTAAATAGAATATTCTCAAAAAAAGACAGAAGGAAGGCCAAAAGGCACATGAAAACATGCTCAAAGTCACTAATTATCTGAGAGATGCAAATCAAAACAACAATGCAGTACCATCTCACACCTATCAGAATGGCCAACATCAACAAATCAACAAACAACAAGTGTTGGCGAGGTTGTGGATAAAAAGGAACCCTCGTGCACTGCTGGTGGGAATGCAGACTGGTGCAACCCCTGTGGAGAACAGTGTGGAGTTTCCTCAAAAAACTGAAAGTAGAACTCCCATTTGACCCAGTAATCCCACTCCTAGGAATATATCCCAAGAAACTAGAAACACCAATCAGAAAGGATATATGCACCCCTATATTCATAGCAGCACAATCTACAATAGCTAGAATCTGGAAACAGCCTAGGTGCCCGTCAGCAGATGATTGGATCCAAAAACTATGGTACATCTACACAATGGAATACTATGCTACCATAAAAAAGAAGGAATTCTCATCATTTGCAGCAACCTGGATGGAATTGGAGAACATCATGCTGAGTGAAATAAGCCAGTCAATGAAAGAGAAACACCACATGACCTCACTCATTTATGGATAATAAAGAACATTATAAACTGATGAACCAAAAGATAGATATAGAGACAGTAAAACAACAAGCAGACTGTCAAATTACAGCGGGGAGGGTAGAGAGATCTGGAGGAGTTAATAGATCAACCGAAGGACTTGTATACATGCATATAAGTACAACCAATGGACACAAAACTCTGGGGAAGGAGGGTATGTATGGGGGGGGGGGGGGAGGGGGCAATGTTTAAATATGTACACAGATAATTTAATTTTAAAAAAAAGGAAGAAAAAAAAAGAAGAAAAAAATGAATGGAAGAGCAAGAATTTAGTCCAAATAACCTGAGTTTGAATTAGGATCACAATTAAAATTATTTCATTCTAAAACAGTAAAAGGATTAAATGACTTGGGTTTTGGATGTTTTGTGGCAGTTTGTACAAGGTAAAACTATAGATAAAAAATAAGTATTAGGGCCAAGACCGGTTTGGCTCAGTGGATAGAATGTTGGCCTGCGGAAACCTGGGTTCCATTCCGGTCAAGGGCATGTATCTTGGTTGCGGACACGTCCCCAGGAGTGGGTGTGCAGGAGGCAGCTGATCGATGATTCTCTCTCATCGATGTTTCTAATTCTCTATCCCTCTCCCTTCTTCTCTGTAAAAAACTAATAAAATAAATTTATTTTTTAAAAAGTATTAGGAACAAATTCTGCAGGATACAAAATCAATATATAAAAATTAATTGTATTTCTAGACACTAGCAATAAGTAACTAAGAAAACAATTTCATTTTCAATAACATTGGAAAGAAAATATTTAGAAATAAACTTAACAAAATAAATATCTATAGGCTCTGTATACTGTGAAGACTACATCATTAGAAGAAAATTTAAAAGATCTAAAAATAATGGCAAGCCACACCATGATAAAGGACTGGAAGAATTATTAAGGTGGTAATACTCCCCAAATGGATCTACAGGTTTATTGCGATTCCTAGCCAAATCTTAGCCGACTTCTCTAGAAATTGGCAGGCTAACCAAAAATGAAAATGCAGGAAACCCAGGTGGGCAACAAAAACAAAGCCTTCCATTCACCATCAATTGATTTTTCACGAAGGTGCCCAGACAACCCAATGGGGAAAGAATGGTCCTTTCAACAAATGGTGCTGGGACAACAAGATATCCATGTCCCAAAGGATGGTGAGGCTCCCTACCTCACGCCATGTACAAAAAGTAAAATAGGCCACAGGCCTAAATGGAAGAGCTAGAGTTATAGAACTCCTTAGTGAAACAAGAGTACACCTTCATGATCTTGAATTAGACTCGTCTGTTCCCTATGACACACAAACGACAAGAGAAGGCAATAGGTAAATTAGACTTCATCAAAAAGGAAAACGTTTGTGCTTCAAAGAACACTACAAAAATAAGAGCCCACAGGAGGGGATAAGATATTTGCAAATCATGTATCTGATAAGTGACCGGTTGGTGGCATATGACCTCCTGTGAAGAGTCTGCCGGGAGGGAGCCAGGGAACCAATGCCCCTCCTCCCTGCCATCTCCTCTGAGGCTCCACGCCAGCTGGGAGCCATTGACACCTGGGCAGGAGCACCCATGGATGTCCATAAGGCGAGCCCCCTCGTTCATGAACAAGGTGCAGAAGGGCTCAAGGGAAGATACTGGACACCATTGGTAATGAGGGTAAGTCATCCAGTTCAAAGGTACCTCTGGTTCCACCTCACTGAAATCTAGAGTTAACTTTACATAAGTGATCTTAGTTCTTAATAACTTGAATAGTTAACATGTAGTAAGTCAGTAGGTAAGTGCTTTACTATCATTGCATTGAATCTTCTTAATGAGCCCCTGAGGTAAACTCCAATATTACCCCACCCCCGACTCTAAAGGTGAGAAAACTGATGCTGAGCAACATGTGCCCAAGGTCAAGAGCTCGTGGTGAAGCCAAGTTACTAACCCAGGTGAGCCACCTCCAGGTGAGAAGCCCGTGTTCTAACGCCAGAACAACTGATCCTCGAAGGTAATATCTACAAGACTTTCAAGACTGGGAGAAAAAAGTTGCGACTGTGAGGCTGATAAAACAGTAACTACCTCTTGACCACCCAGCTCTGGCTGATCAAACTATAATCTCTCAGTTTGGCCTGAGAAGACTGCTGCTCAAAACCCTGGGGAAAATGCACGGATGAATACAGGTGCAGTCCCTGGGTGCCAGGCCAGTCTTGGTTCTGATTCAGTCCTAATGCTCAACAGAGACAGCTTCCGTGCCTCCACCGAGCAGTATTCTCTGCTCCTGACTTTAAGAAACATGCTTGCTTTTATGGATGAATGAACAAATGACTGGATAAATGATAAAGTAGGATATCTTGGTCCTTGTACTTATCAGTTGTCAAATTTTAATGCATTCAACCATAATTTTGAAATACAACTTTAAGATAAACATTCTCATTTCATAAAAATGTTATGGAACAGATTAATCCTTTTTTTTTTTTTCTTTCCCATCTTTACTATTAAATCTCAAAACTCATCAAGCCAAAAAGGGGAAAAAAGAAAAAAAAAAGAAAGAAA